CAGAAAATAATAGGCTGAGACAGTCTGTTAAACTCCAGTCTGTGTGTTTGTGTTTGAGGTGACAACGTTATCAAACACCTGTGTGTGAGCCCAGAGATCAAAGGTTACCATGGTGATGTGCAGTGAAAGGAGAGCCTTTCCATTGTTCTGAATGAGAAATAAACTTCTTACATTTCTAACTATAGTTTAAAAACGTACCTTGTTTGAAAACCAGATGAGCCTGGACTCCTCATGGTAACGAAACATCCCATATTTTGGATCCAGCAACTCTTTCATGATCAGGAGGAAGAACTCCTTTCTGACGCCTCCAGCATCGACGGCCTCTTCTCCCACGAAGATCACCTGCCGTGAACGTCGCATACATTAGAGCATTGGCAGCACATTTGATGTTTCAATTGAAATGGCGACAACATTTGTAATATCAATTATAACAGCTTTGACCTTGAGGGGTCTCTTGTAGTCGACATTCTTGGACTTCCTGAGGACCTCCATGGTGTCTCCAACAATATTCTCCCTCCGAACGATGAGGATGAGGCACGGGTTGACTGATTCCACAGCTGGCATGAACATGGAGCTGAAGTTTTGCATCTGTGCCTGATCCACTGCCATCTATAAAGAAAGAAAGGGGGATGATGAATGATTGACACATTAATATGTTTCAACCATTCAGATACAGGCTCCTTATCACCTGCATCTGTATGACAGCGTCAGTCTGGAGCAGCGTGGTCTTTGCTTGGGCATCAAACACGAAGGGATACCTGCACAGAGTCACCACGCCATCTTGACCCTGAGGATACAGAGGCATAAATAAATGGTTCAAACTGGGGAATTAACCTAGACAAATGTAATTAAGTGAATTGTGGATCTGACATCAACAGCGGACTCACCAGTGGGTACATCTGCCTCTGAATCCATGTGACGTAGTCATTTCTGATGTCTATCAGGTCATCCAACTCATGGATGTAGAACTTATCGTACTCAATGATGTGTCCTGCTCTCTCGCTCACCTGAAACAACAGAAGAACTAGAGGTTCTAATTCGTCCCTACAGACCGCCAGAGGCGGTGCTTTCAGCACTGGATATGTCCATCGCACGCATGCGCAGTTCGAGTACCAATAACAACAAAGTCACCTGTGACCCACTTGACTACGGCTACATAGGCCGGCGTCATTAGTGGATCGGTTCCTTTTCATCTTCTCGCTTTGCGATAGTACCGCGGCTACATTCTTGTAGCCTACAGCGTTCAGGTTTGAACGTTTGATATGAGGGATTTCTCTGCAAGCAGCTGGCCGTGTGCAGCTTCGCGACTGACAGTCGGAGCTACGGGTTGTTAACGCGTCCTCCAGGAGCTGTGGCCAGCTGTGCGCTGTGCAGAGCCTCGATGGACAGGTTTGTGTCAACTTGTTGCTGGTGATGGCTGTGTCCCCGCACCCTCTCCCAGCTAAGTGGTCCTGATTGCTGTCTTATTTATTGTTTGGCTTATACTTTCTGGTGACGACAGTGTTCCCGCTTCCTCTCCCATAAAGTTTCCCTTATTATGCTCTTTTTGAAAGTTCTGCTTGTGGCGTTGTGCCCGAGCTATCATTAGCTTTGAGTCCCAGCTTTAGCTGCGTCTCTCATTCAATTTAGTATGGAAAGCCCAGTGTGCCATTATTTTGCCCGTTTTTTGTTTAGATGCAGAGAGTAAGGAAACTGTAACTACGGTCCTAGGCCATGTAAGCACTGGCCATGGTTACTACTGTGACCATGGCCTATGGTTTTATGCGGGCTGTTCTATTCCATAGAAGCTAATTATCTGGTCTTAACATTTGTGTTTTGACTTGGTTCCTTGATTGTTAGCAGCAGCCGCTTGGCTAACACCTTGCGTGTACTGTTAAGCTTCATTATTTAACTCAGCCGGTGAGGGCAGTGCTCTTGCTCCCGCTCCCGGTAACGTATGGAGTTGATTGCAGTAGCGCTATATCGTTGTATTTACTGCTCATAGTACTAGACTAGCACTAGGATGATATGCAGGCTCGGGATGTCTCGTCAGCAAACACTTGGACGGAAGACTCCGGGCTTCCCGTGACCGTAGCTTCCTCGGGTCTTAGCCTCCTCCGCTACGCGGTCCGGAGTCTACCGTCGTCTCACCCTCTCCCGGGGACCACCAGATAGGTCGTACGTACCTCGAGAGTCCCATGAGGTGGGGTGGGTAGACTTCCTCCTTGTCACCTCACTTTTCTCCCGGCCCAATTCCCCCCCCCCACGGACTTCTTCCGCGATCGACTTCGGCTCAGACGACGCCTTGGACTTTCGACACGTTCGCATGGTCCCGGCGTGCTGTTACCGCGCGGTACCTCCCGCCAGGAGAGTACGGGACGTCTTTCGGAGACTCGTCTCCTCAACCTTCGAAGGAGACCCCACTCGCCCCGGCGGGGGGAAGTATCTTTCTCCAATAGGCCTCGCGATCGCTGTACCGTAGGAGTTTCGTCTCCACACCGTTGGGCTTCCGTCCCGGTCCGCCGTTCGAGTCATCGGGGGTGTGGCCGGGGACCGACTTCCCGGTCCTCGTCCTCGCTGAAGCAGACGAGGTACTGCCGTCGATTGGCTGGGTGGAATCTACCTGTCGGACAAAGATGATCGGGAGATGGACCCCCCACTTGGGTAATCGGTAGGGAGGTAGTTCAGCGGCCCTTGCCGGTCTGACTCGACCTCCTTTCAACCAACTGCTCCTCTCCATCGGTGGAGACGCTGAGATCGGTGACTCGGGCGGGCTCCGTACTTAGATGGTCGAGTACGTCCGGCGAAACGCACTCTGGGAGGGAGTTTACGAGCTCCGGTTCCGTCTCCCTCGTCGCCAGTACCGGCAGGAGCCCGAGTTCTCTTCGGTATGTCCGGCGATGTACTTACTCGGTAGGACATTCCATCGGTCTACGTCGCATCGGCCCTCACCCGCGCTCTTGTGTCGGAAGGGGTCGATGGACGACTTGCCTTTCTCATCTCGTTACGAGGATGAGCGGCTTGTGTTTCTCCCTACATGATGTGGGTACAATGGCCGTCTCTCTCGCCCTCGCTCTCGGACCGGGAAGTGGAATTCGACCTAATTTATTTCTGCAAATTGTCCTGTCGAAATTCGGGCCCGCAGACTGACGATCTTAGTTCGTTGTGCGATAGGTGGGCCTCGCCCCCGCTCTTTGTGACGGAAGTGACCAACCAAGTATTGGCTTTACGGTCCACCGTCGCATGGGCCTCGCCCCGCTCTGTACGGAGTGGTCCAGATGGACGACTATGCCTTTCTCATCTCGTTAACGTTAGGATGGAGCGGCTTGTGTCTCTCCCTACACTTTACTGGATGTGGGTGCAATGATCGTCTCCCTCGTCGCCTCGCTCTCGTGACGGAAGGTGGATCGACCCTAATTTATTTCTATCGAATTACCCCGGTCGAATCGGTCCGCCGACGACTGTTTCTTTAGCTCGTCCGTGAGATGGTCCTCGCCCCCGCTTTTTTTGTGACCGGAAGTGACCTACTAATTTGTTACTTCGAGTTGCTTGTGCGGTTCTACCATCGATTCGCCCGGGCGACAATTGTTAGTCTCGTTATTCAATGCCCTCGCCCTCGACTCTTGTTGACGGAGTGGTCCAACTCAATTTACTTCTTCGAAATTGTTTTGTACGTTCTACAATCGGTTCGCCGACGAGTTGTTAGTTCGCTCTAGTTCAGTTTGTGTTTACAAATTCTGGTCTATTGATCGGAAATTTCTTCTCTTAGTCGTGTCCTCAGGCATCCAATTTCGTAATTGGTACCGGTCACGAATGTGCCGTATCTTGGCATCAATGTCATCATTGATACCGGTCATGAATGTGCCGAATACTTGGCATCAATGTCATACATTGATTACCGGTCATGACTGTGCCGAAATCTTGACACCAATGTCATCATTGCCACCATTTTTTCAAACAGGTCGGTTTGCGCGACGTGTGATCTATTTATTATCAACCCTCCTACTTTTAGGAGAAATTACCGGTGTTGTACTGTCTCGTGTGTCGTGATGTGTCACTNCAGCAGTCCCTTTTAGATAGTGGGCGTTCTCACTCCAATCTGAATTTATGTGTCTGCTATTTCTGCCCGACATATTCGGGTCGACTGCACCACGGCGGGGTGCCACAGGTTGGTGTCCCTCTTCCTGAGAGGGGCTTTACGGCAGCATCCCCCTAGCACCCCGAGGGCTCCGGCTTGGGACTTGCCCCTAGTGCTGGATGCCCTGTCATCTCCTCCCTTCGAGCCCCTAGCCCAGGTGGAGCTTAAGTGGCTGTCCCTTAAGGCAGCATTCCTGCTTGCCATGACCTCAGGGAAACGAGTTGGAGAGCTACATGCCCTCTCCGTGAGCGATACATGCCTGATGTGGAACTCCGATGGCTCGGATGTTGCCCTCTGGCCGAACGTGGCGTTACTGCCCAAAGTGCTTCCACTAGCCCACTCCAATCGGCCTATCCAGCTGGCGCGCTTTAACGTCCCACAGGAGAACGGCACGCCTGAGTTGCTGTGCCCTGTGCGTGCCCCAGAGGTGTATATTGGTGCTCCGGCCCATATACGACAGTCAGAGCAGCTCTTCATCTGCCATGGCGGCACGAGAAGGGGCTGTGCTCTCTCCAAACAGCGGCTGTTCCACTGGGTTGTGGATACAATCTCACATGCCTATGGGGCCAGTGGCCGCCCCCCGCCATCAGGGGTGAGATGTCACTCTACAAGGAGCATCTCAACGTCTTGGGCTGCACTGAGAGGGGTGTCCCTGGAGACCATCTGCGCTGCGGCCTCGTGGGCATCGTCTGGCACATTCTCCAGGTTCTACCGGGTCAATGTCGCCACTCCCCATCCTTTGGGCGTGGTCCTGTTGCCGAGCTCCGCTGCTTCCAGCTAGGTAAGCAAGGATTCGGATTCTTCATGACATGGTTGGTATAGTCATCCAGTGCTGAAAGCACCACGAAATAGAACGATAGTTACGGCTGTAACTACGGTTCTATGAGTCCCGGATGACCGCCAGAGTTTCCGGTCACTCAGAATTCTTGTGTGCTCGCGAGAAGATTCTGAGAACCGATCCACTAATGACGCCGGCCTATGTAGCCGTAGTCACGTGGGTCACAGGTGACTTTGTTGTTATTGGTACTCGAACTGCGCATGCGTGCGATGGACATATCCAGTGCTGAAAGCACCGCCTCTGGCGGTCATCCGGGACTCATAGAACCGTAGTTACAGCCGTAACTATCGTTATCGACACTCTATCAGTTTTTTACACACAGAAAGTAGAAATTAGAATCTGCTGACTTATTCAATAATAATGTTCAAAAAGCTATTTTTCTCATACTGCCTGTGCTTTAGCACCTCTTTTCAACCTCTGTCTGAAACCAGAGCCCAGTCTGCTCTGATTGGTTAGCTGGCCGGCTCTGTTGTGACCACTTAGAGATGTCCCGCCCCTTAGCCTATCATGTATGATTGCGCTAGCCAATTGAAGTGGGGGTGTTACATACAGGGTTCATATACTTTTTCACCGATGATTTTCAATGACCTTTACCTAATTTTCCATGACCAAAAAAATTACTCTTTCTCAGCGGTACCACAGAAAATTGTTTATTTTAACATGGAACAGTAAAATAATAATAATCTAAAACAAATCAAATAGGCTTACCAGCAAAATACCTCGACAGTTAAATGCCATTTTATGTTTCATTACTATACGATACAGTATGTATTATCATTATAGTATTACTATTTCGGCGATTAGCTAAAATATAAATTATATTTGATGCAACTTTAGTTACATTTCCATGACTTTTCCAAAACTTTGGGAAAAATATTGTTTTCCATAACTTTTCCAGGGCCTGGGATTTGCCTTTGGAATTTCCCTGACTATTCCAGGTTTTTAATGACCGTAAGAACCCTGTACATAGTGATGTCATTATGTTGAAGGTGTAGACAAAGGATTCCAATTGGGGCGTGTCAGGCAGGGGGGGAGTGTGTGGGAGGGAAACTCCCTCTTGAGGGAACTTGGGGATTTTAGCCTTTGCAGAACATTTACGTACATGCACAAAAACCTATACAGTATAACACACTACAGGAAAGGGAAAACCCACAAAAGCATGATAGGGCCTCTTTAAAATTGTACTGTCTGCAGAACACATGCTTGGATTAGTTTTTTTTATTCCTCACCGTGTGCAGGATCTCCAGGAGCCGGAGGGACGTGTCCAGGAAACAGGTGAAGATTCTCTGCTCCACCGAGGGAATGCCCATCTTGTGCATCTGGAGCAGATAAACCACCACCCCCTTGTACAACTCAACCATCCGCTGGAAGACAGGGGGCTCGAAAGTAGACCACCAGTTTCCTGAAGCAAATACAAGACCAAACAGAGAGTGAAAAAGCAGAAAGCGGCAGAGAAATGGTTGCACCGTGTGTGGGGTAAACAATCCTCATCCTACCTAGCACCTTCAGCGGAGTCTCTTTCAGACTGAGGAGTGATTTGGCAAATGGGATAGCGATGGTCACGTAATTGTTTCTGTCGCTGAAGAGAGGACATTCAGGGAGAGTGAGGTAGAGTCTCAGGGCTTCAATGTCTGGAGGAGAGTTGCTTAGTCTGGGAATTAGGTTCTTCTCCAGACTGGCAGCAATCTGAGGGGGCAGAGGAAAAGATAAAGGTGTGTTATTATTGATTTCATAATTAGTCATAAATGTTTCTCTTGTGTTTGTTTGATAAACACTGAGAAGCTGGTGGGGCAAAGTGCAATAATTACATACTCAGGCGGAGTTAAGAAAATAATAACCATGGGCCCCAACAAGGGAGGTGCCCAAAAAAAGCTTTGGTATAAAAGTTAATTAAAGGCACTGTTGGGGAAATATTTTTCAAGGCCCCTAACTTTGACCCAGTTTATCAGTTCATACTGTCCTGACTGAGCACACGCACCTGTAACCTTGGCTGCTGTGCTCTCTGTGTTTTGTCTCCCTGTTCCTGCCTGTTGGCGTCAGCTGATAGAGGTGTTAGGATTCTATCTTGTTATGCACAATGTTGATTATTCTCTCTGAACTAGCTAAATACATGGGTCTGGGGTAGAGTTCTTCAGAATTGACGTGGCAACTCTACCGTGAAGTCAGAACCTCTGGCTCTTGGACTTGTTTTGTGAATTCTCCGGCCGAAGCGCCTAAATAAACCATCAGTGTTTGCCATCAAAGATCCAGCTCACCCCGTGTCTCCTTCCTGAGTCGGTGACTCCCAAAGCATTGCTACACAGAAGTTTCCCCCACAGGCACAATAATCTATGTTTTGTATTAGGTGTATCACGATGTAACAGTATTGATGATAACTGTGATATTTAAACGAAAAAATGAAATAAATATACCATGTTAATTATACACACAAGATAACTTTATGTACATGTACTGTATAAGAAGGGGAAATGGAACTACTGATGCAACTTATGTTACACTCTATCCTCATCTCAACTAAATCCAACTATTTCCAGGCACAAAATAAAAATGATATGAGAATTTTAAAATCGTGACAATCGCAGTTGTGCAGTCGTGACAATCGCAGTTCAACAAATCTGAGAAATATTGTTACAGTCTTATATAAACATACATGGACAATTATTATGTAATTGTTGCAATAAACTATTGCATAAGGTGCCCCAACTACAGGATATGTTTGATCACTGACCTGCTGAGCGATCTCATGGTGATCTTGTTGGACCACTCTGTGCAACAGGAGGCGAGCCATGCTCAGATCCACCCCCGAACATTTACTGCTGGTGCTGTAGTGATCTGGATTACTGTGGGAAAGAAACAGTCAGTTAATATGAGACTGACTCAATCAAAAAAGTAAAAAGACCTCCACTAATTAAAAAGGAAATGTAAATCTGACATGAATATGACCTTGAATAAAAACCACGAAGAGGGTCGAGATAAAAAATCCATACAGCATAATCTCTGTAGTATGTCTAACACTTTCAGTTAACCACCGGTAATCCTCAATTAAGACATACTGTATATCAGACATTGAATTAAAAAGATAATAACTGTAGATGAGAATGGTTCTGTCACCTCGTTGAGAGAAATGATCCGTTGAGGCAGCTTGCTGAGGAGAACACGAGTTCAATCTCACTGAAGGAATCATGAAAGGCAAGTTATTAATGTTAGCACACATTTTAATGAGAAGATCTCCACAAGGTACTGAATCATGAAAAAGTGTCCAACTGTAAATGTCCACAATGAACTAAAAGTAACAATAACATGTTAGACAGGGTTTGAGGGAGGAGAGGACTTTACTTGGAGATTTCTATTGGGAGTCGTCCTGGGGAGTAGTTGCACCACTTGTGTATGATCTCCTGATTCAAGATGCAGATCCTCCTGTGGGGGTCTGGTATCCTCACATCGTCTTTGTCCTGGAGTTTCAACAACATTAAGTCTGAGGAAATTAAATTAACTTGCAAAAGAGATTTTAATAAATCGGAAATCATGTGCAAAAACGAAAAGGTTTTCCATTAAAACCAGGTTGCATCTTGAGAAATTTCGACTGTTTAAAACAATATAGAAGATGCTCTACTTTAACCCATCAACAAATAAGCTCATGTTCCTCTATAGGCTTTTATAAACATGGCTAAATTATAAAAAAAAAAACATGCAATGCAATCCCAATTAATTTAAACAAATAATTATTTTGACATTACATTTTTTTTCATTATTTAAATAGTCCCATGCACCCTTTTTTCCCCAAATCACAGGCTGCAAATTCATTTGATTGCATGTTAAAAGTAATGCAAATCTTGCAATTCTTTGGTGTGTAAGCAGCTCTTAGAATCCTCAACTAAATAACTCCTGAACACTTACATTGGCCGTGCAATAGTGAGCAAAGCTCTGGTCTCCTCCTGCGTAAATCCTCTTGACACAGTAGCCCGACTCCGAGTCTGCAATGTTATGTAATGACAGCAAGAATAAACGTGTGAATAGATGAGGAGATAGGGATGGATCGTGGTACAACGTGGCATCTTAGAGATCCACCAAATATTTATAATAACATTACATAAAATGTTTCCTTACATTTAAGATTTGTGATCTGCGAGTTTGTTTTTTTAAATACTGCTGTTTTACTTCTTAGAAAATTCTCCATGCAGCTTTATTTAAAGTGTCTCACCTGTATCCATTGAAGAATTGGAGGCTCCCCAGGGGCCTTTGACAGGGGCCGGGTTTTTTCTGTTGCAAGTGGAGCGGGTACCAAGCTGCCCGTTACCAGCAAGCCCGAAAGCATCCATCTTTCCACAGGAGGGCGTGAAGGCCATCGTGTGCTGCCTAATAATTGTACAATTGTTTTAAAAATTGTAAAGAAATCCATTATAGCCATCTACCTATCACGCTGGTCATTTATATTACATTATGCGCATTGACATCAATACACACATGTAGTAATTACTCCATATTTGGAATAAAATGTTTTAAGAAATACACAGTCGATTTACCTTCCACATGAAATCTGCGTGACTACGTTTCCCATGAGCTCAAACACTTTCCTCGGGTTGATTTCATGGTTTGTAGAGTTGTGTCCGAGTTGTCCGTATCCTCCCGCTCCAAATGTAAACACACCTCCTTCCTGTAAAAGCAGAAAAACCAGTTTTAACTGAACTTCCCGGGAACAAGACGACAAAGTGCAAAGTGTTACAAACACCACAGCATACAGGGCTGGAACTGAGTGAGAAGCATACAGGATGTAATCATGTTAGTGACTTCATCTGGTTATTCATGAATAGGAAACAGCTAAAGAACGCTACATGGCGTCACAGGATATGTTATAATCTGCAAGTCTTAGATACAGACATATTCAGCTGGTAAACATAATGGTGGTTAAGCTCTTTATAGCCAAATTCTAGTAATTTTCTTCATTCATATTAATTATGATAGGGTTAGGGTTTCTTAGCTGTTTTATTGATAGAATACGGGGGGGGGACTTTTTTAGCTCCATGTTAAAATGACTGCCCAATTGTAAAGACATCTATTAGGTTTTAAAGGACTACTTCCTCATATTACTGTTTTACAGCTGTTCACTGTAGATGTATACTTATCATAGTGCTACATTCCTTGTTTCATTCAGTTTTTTCATTTGCAATTACTTTCTAGTTTATAATAATGTATTTAATCATTTATTTACGGTATATTCTATCATAAATTATTTGAACATGCACTGCTTTATTTTTACATTTTGTGTGCACTTGCATGTGTTCTTTTTATTTTTAATTGATATAAAATTGACATTGTTGTTGTGATTCTGAGACTTTAGATTTCTATTTCCTGCTTCTTTGTCATTTGTGTGCATTTAAGAAAACATATCTTGAACTTTGACCTACTGCACTTAGCCTAATTATGCCATTCAATGTTATAACTAATGAGACATTAGCCCTTACTTACTTGTTCAGGTTAACCTTCATTTCAAAATGAGTGGTTAACAATATGACTACAATTGTAATTGTTTAAAATATGTAAGATGGACACCTTACCCTATTGTAAAGCTATGGGCTAAGTGGAGTACCTGTGAACCCATATCTCAGCAATTAAAGGTAGGGTAGGTCATTCACTTCAGAAAAACGTTTTGTTATATTCCATGGAATGCTCCCGATAGCAATGAATATAGTAAAAGCTTTGACAATAAATACATTAAAAAATGTCATCTGTGGAAGCCATGGCGCTGTAAAAAGTACGACCAATCATCTGAGCCGGCCCGGCTAAAATAACTGGATGGCCTACCTGCCTGTCAGCCTTCCATCTGTGCACAAACTTATCTCGTGCCCTCATTGGTCATGTGCGCGTTTGTGTGTGTTGGAGGAGGGGCTCTGTAAGGAAGGCCAGATTTTCTTCGGCTGCGTACTTTCAAATTCTAGCGCACTCGAGCTGGTTTCTCCATTCTTACCTACCCTACCTTTAAGCTTTATAAGATCATCTTTACAATCGGGACTGATGGTTGGAAAAATAATAACACTTATTTGTTTTAAGTATACGTATATTAAAAGAATAAGGCAAAGGCTGTGAAAAAATATGAACTCACTGACACACATAACACTTCAGGGTTACCAAATAATCAAAAACGATATAACTTAACTTGGTCAGTGCTGCGGTGTGATCTTCTCCACAGGAGACATAAATCACTCTCTGCGATCTGAGGGACTTCAGCAGGGTTGGGTAAGAGCGATCTGAAAAAGACAATCTGACAATGAATCTGACTTTATGGCCTAAGTGCTCACAGGTAGAAGTGTTAATTTAGGGGTGTGACCACCCACCGTTGCAGTCATTGAGACCCAGCTGACCGAACTTGTTGCGCCCCCAACCGAACACGGCTCCTGAGAGAGTGAGGGCGAAGCTGTGAGCCCCGCCTGCTGATATCTGAGTAAAAGGAACGCCCTGCAGAGACTGAATGATTTGGGGCGTTGAAATGCTCTGTCCGTTTATGCCTAGCCCAAGTTGTCCATATCGATTGTGGCCCCAGGAGAAGACTTGGCCCCCTATGAGGAGAATTAGACATAAAGTAGAAAGTTTTTACATGTGGGAAACATAATAAGTTGAAATAATTGTGCATTATGTTGGTACAAACCATCCTCACCTCTTGAAAGTGCATGGGAGTGCCAATACCCACAGGCTACCTGAGCTATTTGTATATCTGACAAACTCTTGATATTTCTGAAGAAAGAAACAAGCATTGTTTGTTACGAACATTTTGTGATCTCATCATGTGTAGCACAATGGTATTAATACTGTGAGTTTGATATTTAGATGAACATGTTGATACATTTTGGTAATCGCTTTGATCATGACCAAAATCCCTGGATAAGATATATTTTAAAATAGTATAAACTATCTGCCAAAATGTGTCATTGAGTATTTTACACTGGAATTATAATTCATTTGTTATTCTAAATACATTTGCACAAGGTTGTACTTTAAATGTCCTTTTTTGAATGGTGCTGAACAATGAAAATTGCTTGTCAAAAAGGGAAAACGCCTAAATAAAAAGGAGACTTATAGCATTACCAAGTCATGTTGTGGATTTGTATTTTCTTTAGAGTAGAATAATTATTTGACGGTTTTCTTTAGCAATTTGCCTACATACAGATATATCATTAGAATATTCCTCGTAAGTGTAAACCTACCTGGTAATAAACCTGTTTCTGATTCTGGTATTATGTAAGGGGAAAAGATTTAATCAACTAGTATTGATGTGGTCAGATAATACAAGTTGGGTATCAGTATCGGACATGAAAAAATTCTATGTAGCCATCACTAGTTTTAATGAAGTCTTAACGCAAAACAATCAAATCAGTAAATAAAAAAAAAGAGCCCACCTAGGCACACGAACACATTCTTCAAAGTTATTTAGGCCCAGCTGCCCATCTGAGCCCTGGCCCCAAGAGAACACCTGCCCTTTGTCATTCAAGGCGAGTGTATGGGACTCTCCACAGGACACCGCCAGTATGATCTGTGCATCCAGGGCCACTACCTGTTCTAATAGGACGCAAAGAGAAATTAGATGAATTATTTCCCCAAGTGGTATCATACAAAAATACAAATAATGATAAGATGTATATCACCAACCTGGTTTCTTCCTGCACTTCTCATGGCCCAGCTGCCCCAGGTCATTGCAGCCACAGGTGTACACTGTCCCATCCTCCAGCAGGAAGGCTGTGTGTCTGAGGCCACACCCCACATCGCAGACTTTCTTCCCGTGGAAGAATTCACATTTTCGTGGCTCAACCACAATCTCTTCATCAATCCCACCCAAGCCTAGCTGTCCGTAGGAAGCATTTCCCCAGCACAGCATTGTAGTTTCCCCCTTTGGCTATGCAGGCCTGCAGGATCCCCGTCTCTGTGAAAACGAGAGAGACACCTCGGCTAATATAACGTTACAGAGCACATTCAGACACTTCAGGGTGCAGGGTACACCTCATCTGGTTTCACCTAGCAAGGTAGCCACTTAACGTTATGGCTATTAACATTATTGTACGCGTACTTGTTAATAGCTTATTTGATACCTTCAGGATGTAATAATATAAATATTACAAATATAATGAACTCAGAGCAGGTAAATCATATGTAAACAGATTAGCCAAGTAAGCTACAGTTAAATTAATGGTTAAGTTAGTTAAGCTTAAATCACCGAACCACACGACTTCCGTATGGGGCGTCTGGATTTCAAAATTAAAGCAAACGGCTAAACATGTCTTGAAAATGTAATGCTAAAATGTTGTACTTAAACAGATTAAAAATAGATCGAAAAGAGTTCATATTTATGATGGCTGTCATAAAAAACAGTAACTGATATGTTTCTTCTAAGAAATGTTTTTAATATTCTAACCGGAAGTAGTATTCTTGTTCTGACAGGCGCACCGCGGAGACAGACAGCTAGCATGCATCTTGACGTTGGTTTACCCTGATGATCAGTCATAATGACCGAGGCAACTTGACTTAGTATAATTAGCTTTAGTTAACAGTATAGTTTAACAGTTAGGAATGGCAGTTAAAAATAATATCAATAAAAGCGTATAACACGTGGTAACATTGATAGAGTAGCTTTACTCCAAAAGTGTTGTAATGTTAGCAAGCTAACGACAGTCACATCCCATCTAAATTATCCTTATTAAGGTGGTTGCACAGCTATGTAAAATAACTTAAATATATGTTATTAATGTACGTCTTGTGAAGCAGTAACGTTGATCAAGTACATGGTGGTCCTTACGTTCAGTTTACTATGACATTAAAGGAAAATAGTAAATCTTACCAAACCCTCCAGATTTAACAATGTTATTGTCTTCCAGGGTTTGCTCACTAGTTGGTCCGACTTTTAAAAACGCACATACCTGCACACTTTGAGTAAATAATATTAAAAGCCAACTGCTAGCTTGTTGTAAGAAAATCCTCCCCAATCCCTCCACTCCGGTGTCTGTCAACAACTACTGTACAGGACTGGTGAAGAAAGCTGTAAAGTCAGCTGCACTAAGACTTTGAATATCCGGTTTTTACCTTAGAAACAAAACTCACATTGTAGTAGCATAGCAGTGAGGCGTGCAGGACCGTGACACCAATTTGTTTTCCAGTTTCACTAGCTACTGAGAGTACTCTCTGGATAATATTAACCTTTTTTAAATAATAGTTTAGTTTAAGAATAAGTGTGTTGGCTTTTACTTTGAAAGGGCAGACATGTAACCGGAGACGCTCCTGCTTTCACATACACTTGACTTTATTTTACTGAGAAATGTCGCGATGCATCCACAATGTTCTAGATGGGCACACGCGCATGCGCCCCTCTGCAGCTGCAAAATAACTTACTACTTTTTTATTATTTGAGTACTGCAAATAATGCTAAAGGTAACATAAGAATATTTTTCAAATATAAAAAGGTACAATGGAGTAGTGAAGTTAAACATCTACACTGTAAACACTATAGTTCTAGTTTTTAAACTGTACTATAATATACATATTTGTCTAACAATGTTTGTTGACCTTATGCAATTTTCTACTGAAAGGATTCATCTGCTGAATCAAATTGGCTTTTCAAAGACACAATTCAATCTTAAAAATGTCCAATAAGAATAAGGTAATGTGTTCTTTGAAACATTTGTCTCCCTCTAGTGGACGTTTAAAAAAGATCACTCATATAATATATCCCTAACCCTGTATGTTTTTATGAAAAAGGGAAGTCATGTGTGAATAAGTGTTTAATTTGACCATAGCACAACACTAACATCATATTTGCTTCTAACTGGGGAGATTGGACCTATCTGTTATTGTAGTAATTAACAATTAATAAATACAATATTAAGTATAATATAAGTAAAAATCTTCAAATACTTTCTTTAATAAAGGTACCTGAATCACTGAAATATTGCGTGAGTATCTTCTATTACGTATCCTCAATAGATTCTGGATTGTTAGACTGATGTATTTACATGTTAAAATATATATATTTTTGGATCAGGTCCAGGTGGAGCTTAATTGAAAGATCTCATACTGTTTGACACTTTATACCAACGTATTGTATGTTATATTTTCAATTGAAATTAAAGTGACTAGAACAGTAGGATAAATGCTTTGTCAAAGTAAAAACTATACAATGTTCCATCTTAAATTTGGAGTAAATGTATAAAGTGAAATTAAATATAAGTAGGCCACTCAAATACATTACAAGTACTTTAAAACATGACTAAATTGCTTTACTACACTTACAATTCAAATGAAGGTTGACTATTTTTGGTTATTATTATTATGAATTATTTAAATTGCCAATAACGGTCTATAGTACACTCATATTTATTCTGATGATAGTGTCTGAATTATAATGTATATTTGTATATTTGATCCATAGTGCATTTTCTAAAAGATGCTCTATACTGCTGTTAATAATGTTTATACCTCCTTATAATGTTCATTGTGTAAATACATCAGCATCTTTCTGTCACATGTATATATATTTATATTATATAATACTTGAATAACTCACACTTTCTGCTTGTTTTGCACTTCTGGTTAGATGCAAACTGCATTTCGTTGTCTCAGTACTTGTGCTCTGTGCAATAACAATAAGGTTAAATCTAATCCAATACATTTTTACTTTCAATCAATACACTTCTAAATAAGGTCATGTATAAAGTGAAATTAAATATAGGCCACTCAAGTATAATACAAGTAGCTCAAAACTGTACTCACAATTAAATTGCTTAACTACACTTACTATTAAAAGTGAGCTAGACTATTTTAAGTTAAAGAGTGTGTTTACAGAATATCTTAACCCCAATACATTATTTCCTTTAATCAATACACTTCTAAAACAGGTCAGGTATGGAATTTAAATGGCCGGGTGGTGATTCAACTCGTGTTTTTTTCCAATGTTTCTCAATGCTGCATTGCAATCTGAGATCATAGATCATGCGCCATCGACCGTCTTAACTCTTTTCTTTTGTTGCTATTTTCAGGTGACAGACATTCAAAACATCCAACGGCGTTAACGCTGACAGGCAATGCCCTCTATTCACAATAACAGCCCATTCTACGCAGACTTATGCGTAACATCCCATGTGCCTGATGATTAACATCTTTCAGGTGTAACAACAGGTGCTTGTTCAAATCCTGTGTTTCCTGTATTGCTGGTTTTTCATGGGTTTCTCCCTTTGGACCTACGCACTGTGGTGTGATATCTCAGAGCAGGAGGAACTTTTTCACTCATAAGTTACAAATCAACGCAGAAGCAGGAAAGAACCAAGAGAAATAAAAATGTTGCAATTGCTGGGAGTAAGTAAAAAACTCTTTTACATTATCTTTATTCCTTTTATGTCAACTAATGGTCCAAAGAGGACTGTCATTTATGTAATATTGACATGTATTTTCTTTTAACATGTTCAGACGGTTGTTGGCCTCCTCTTCATCATAATGTGCTTTTCCAAAGGACTCAAAGAGGTGAGTAATACAGAAGTACATCCTCCTTGTATATTGTTTTATGTTTTTTTAATTTTATTTAGAAAAATAATTAGACATAGCTACATATACATTTAAAGACTTCACCCAGCTGCTAAAGAATTGACCAGTTTAAGGAAGTAGGAAATAAAATGTGTTGCTCAGAAACAAAACTTATTATTTTCGTTGACAGGGAATTAAATCTCAAAGAAAACTATCTGAATCCCTTCCCAACAACAAGAAAGTAAGTAACCAAACTAAGTTAAATGATTGTTGTTTATAATAACTGAGAGGACATATTTAACATTCCTTTCTTCAGCAGAAGGATCTGAGCGAAGAAGACGTGCAATTGTTGGCAAGGATCCTTTCAGTTGGATTGGTCGATGCAGATCCAAACTATCTCCACCATCTTAAATGCTACAGAGACTTACGTGGTCCCTGATCTTCTTTCAAATAAAAAAACCAAGGCCAAATACCGCAATATATTGACAGCATACTGCTATTCCTGGATTTATCCTTGGAGTTGTGATGGCACCAAATCAAGGCTACTCTGCATTTTGTTTTGGATACCACAAGTCAAGCGATTCCTGCCTCCAGATGTTCCATGATAATGGAAAACATGCACTTTATTCAGGTCACTCATAACATTGAAAAACGATTATGGAATGTCCTCCCCTTTGTCTGGAGGAGAAGTGAATGGCGCTGTTAATGGATGTGATGATGCTGATGGTGAATACTGACTGCCTCACTGTATACTTTTTGAAAAACAGCCACTGATATCATACATTCAACATTCATCTCTTTTCATATGATAATGAATATATAGAAAAAGGCATAACTTGTGAAGTTGTTTTTAAGTGGAACTTGCTTTACTATGCTTGCTTTAAATTGCTTTACTCAAGTGTACATGCCATGTTTAATACCCGTTTGTTGAGCTGTAAAATGTAATTTTACCTCAAAACTTGATGTGTAATTTAGCTGTTGTACACCGTTTCAGCCCATAATAGACCATTTTAAGTGAGACGATGTAACTTTCCTGAACGGCAGCTGAGGCCACACTTGAAACAGATGGACAATTGCTAATTAGGTTTTAAGCTAAATGCTAAACAGTTGTTTACTGCTTGCTAGACAGTAGCACTAAGCTAAACAGTAGCATTTAGCTACACAATGTAGCGTTTAGCTAAATGTTTTGAATAGAAAGTAAAGAACAAGCATCAAATAACACAAAGTACCATAAGTAAAAGCATTCATTTAGTATTAGTATATACTTTATTATTTAAATATCATTATTGATGTATACTGTTTTCATCACTTCGATGTTGCAGCTGGTAAAGAAGGGGCTTGTTTTTGAATTACTTATATATACTGCCTGGTAGCTTTTGCGAAGGGATCAATTATGTTATAGTAATATGATAGATTTTTGTTTTGTCATTATATTTTGTATTCTCATTCTGGAGCTTCAAAATAACTTAAGTTATCAGATATATGTCGTGCAAAAGTGCAATATTTTCAGCTAAGATGTATTTGAGCAGAAGTAGCAGGATATGGAAATACTCTAGCAAAGTACAAGTATGACAAAATTCGAACTGAAGGACATAACTTGATATCATGTTGAGTAACTGTACATAGTAATGTAAAGTTAGTGTCCACCACTGGTCATGTCCTTACCTAGAGTAAAGGAGACAAAAGGGAGAGATTAAACACAAATGAACTTGTAGACCTATGTTTTTGTCCATTTATAAACTTAATGTGTCTTACTCCAGAAGTGGCTGTTGAGCTTGTTTCCTAGCAGGTAGAGCAACACCACCACAGACATGTTGAAAAAGAAGAGGCCCACCAGACCAGGTGTGCTGAAGTGTGCAAGAAGGGGATACACCCAAATCCCCACTGAGAAGTACACCCATATAATCCTGCAGAACATGTTAAGAGAAAAAAAAAGGTGAAACTGCATACTGTATCTGTCAGAACAACTTGCACAGTCTTGTCTCTTGAACTATTTTTCTTGTGGAAACATTTAGTCACATAGCTTCCACCCACTAAAACTGACAATACTGATTGTAACAGCACAAAAAATACTTTAAAAAGGTAGCATTAAGGTATGTGAGCCAACTGAAGGTTCAAAGTTACCCCTCAAGGTTCTGCATTGGACTAGTCCAGACAAGTAAGAGTAAGAAATTAGACACAGTTAGACACTGATTTACTTTTAGCTGCATTAAAACAATAATAAGACTGCGCCATGTTTAAAATGAAAGATGTTAAATCAAGAAGGATTCCGCTATGATATATGTGTGTTCACTATATGCCTAATAAAAGTTTTTTTTGTCATGATTGTGCAGAATGTGCTGATTCAACACTTACCAAAATAAGTAGGCCGCACCCACACCTCCTAATGCTTGCAGTGCATGCTTTGTCTGTGGGTAGATGTGAGGCTGCACCACCACTTCTCCGAGTAAAAAAGGAAGGACAAGTGTGTGCTGAGAAAACAATTTGGGGATAATTCATTAGTAAGAGGGATGGATTATGACAAGAGAATGAAGATTTTTTTACATAAGTTTGTTAAAAATACAGGTTAATGCACCATAGCGTGGTTCATCCAGGGAGGAAAGAAAGTGTCAATGGTTGCTGGGTAGACTAATTCTCTGTCATAGGCAAAGATCGTCCAGAAAAGTATAACAACGAACTAAAGGAAAAACACGGAACAATAGGGAGTTAATGTGTAGCACAATTCTTTTTTTATGGTTAACAATGTATGGAAGTGTTTTGTGTTTCTCACCGTGCCAACAGGGAATGCAAAGACAGAGAAGAGAAGGTCTTTACATCTGTTCAGAGTACTCTCTGCCTTGTTACCAGCTTGTAGATCACTCAGTGCCGCCACTCCAAAGAACAACATTTGTAATAACTGGAATATTGAAAGCAAACTTATCGTTTACCATTACCTTAATGTTGAAAATGTCTAACAAATGTGCTTTAGATATTATTGTACTCACCAAATTCAAAAAAGTAAGGTACTTCCAAGGTCCCCCATACACAAAGATTCCTGGTGGTAACTGCTCTCCATCCTTAGCAGCGAGATTCTTCACAACAAAAGCATACCAGCTGAATGCTGCGATGTGGTAAACTCTCCTTATGGTTAAAGTCATTCTAATATAAACGTATACTGAGCCCTGACAAGCAACAAGAATGAATTAAACACTGATAAAAATAACTAGTCTTTAAAGCATTCCTTCAAACTGTTGTTTCTTTGGGCAGAGAATGTTCTTTAAAGATTAGTGTAATGCAGCACAAGCTTATCAAGACGTTTGTAAGCAGCGGAGACAAGAAGCCCACTGTTTCTAATGAAGCATAGGAGTCCTTCTTTCATCATAACCAATGCCGTAGCATGTGACCGTGCACAATTTCAATTACAGAAAGAGCTTAAAGGGTTACTTACAGTGTTTTGCGAGAAAAGCCCCCACTCAGCACCAAGAGTGTTGTTTAGTAGTTGAATTGTGACTTCATGGAGGGGTACACATTTTGTTGTCAATTGAAATGAAATAAAAAAGATATACACTGCCTCATTAAGTTCTTTGTAAATAAGATCACAAGGCATGATACATCTCAAGTGATGTTTGGCAGATTTAAAATAGACACACGTTTGCTCTCTTAGGTTGGTCATTGTTAAGCATTTTTTTAATGAAGTGTTCTCGCGAGTATTAAAGTGTTCAGAGATTTGCATGCTGCTAGTTATGGATAATCTTGTCCTGAGGGTGGTGCTAGAGGAAAGGTCATTGGGGTTGAAAGATTCATGAGATTAAGGGATGCCTTGTGTAGGCGAGGAAATCAAAGCAAGTCATGCTTCGACAACCTCATAACATGTTATCTAAATTGTTCTAGTACAGATGATTGTTTGCAGTTCCATGGATCCTCTCATTAAGCCGAAGAAGAGAAAAGATACGCTATTTAATCCATATTTGCTAACTGACCTTTTAATCATGTCTTAAACCATTACAATCTTTTAAAATGTCATTAGTTTCTAAGATTACATTACATTGCATTTAGCTGACGCTTTTATCCAAAGCGACTTACAATAAGTGCATTTGACCAAGAAGATACAAACTTGTAGGTTTCATAGAGCCAAAACATTTCAAGATAATTAAGACCTGTGATTTCCCTATTACGTAAGATCTGAAAAAGATCTATATACAGCACATGATAAATGTGAATTACTCCATTTAGCCACATTTTATCAACGAAACCAGCGCTGCTTCTCATAGTACCTTCTTTTGGCAATTTAATGACAGGATAACACCACCATTTTAAGACATTTGATTTACAAAGGGCAAGTGCTGCTGAAGACAGACTCAATACATCTAGTATTTCAAGGCAACATTTTACATACTGTCGTTTAGTCTTTGCAGCCTCAGATTTTCTTGTTTCAGTGTACAGGTTAGGTATGACATGTTTTCATTGAAAAAAAGCACATTTTCAGAGTCAAAATAGGGTTGGTTCCAGCTAATTACAGAAGATAACACCATATATAGTCACTTAACCCAGTGGAATCTAGCCATGCACGTAGCTTTGGTTTTAAACATAAACAATTACATGAAAAAAAAAAAAAAAACGAGACATATTTTTTACTTTTTGTTCGTTTGACAAACAATTCATCAAAATACCACAATATGGTTGACACTGTTGCTTATATTAAAATTAAGCGCCAACGTATTTTCACTGAAACAACAGCCCTGCGTGGATATGAATGTATTTATTTACTAGTTTCACAAACCCTCGTAATAATCAGCATCTTTGTGGAACACGATTGTGAAAAACTACAATATCAAATACAGTATATTACAGACTGACTATAAAGATTATCTATTACACTTTTAAAACCAACATACTTTAATGTAATGGCTGTCAGTGCCGTTAAAAAAAGAAAGGACAGACGTCATCAGAGAGATCCTGTTGCAAACATTGCACTTCACCCATGCAGTCAGTAAAAACACATCATTCATCATCAGATCACACACACGTAGTCTATGTTCATATCTTGGTAAACCCTTTGTTGGTCATTGTAATACAATTGGAAAATCAGGTTTCTATTAATTTGTTGAACTGCTAGTTTTACCATTTAAAGCCAGCTCGAGGTCCCCTTCCTGTTTGCATAATATGCTTTTTTTGTTGTTGCAGAAAACAAACTAAAGGTCTTTGGTCAGAAAATGTCATTGGTCAGAAACACTTCATGGTCATTATTTCATCTTTAAATTGAATCTTTTTCTTTCTACACACACTTTATGCTCAGTTCATTCTTACACATTTCTTACGATTCCATTTAAGGTGCCATCTGTGAAAGTAATAGAGAAACAAAATGAGTAACAACTTAAGCAACACAACTTACATTTAAACAGTTGTTAGTAAAAATGGTGTTGTGTTTATACCTCAAATCGGCTGTAAACTTTCCTCTCCTTCCTCATATGTGTAATCTTCTCCAACAGCTTGTCACGCTCCTCAATTGACTTAGGCTGCCCTCTGCTAAGGGACCTGATACCTATTTCTTTCTCCCTTTTGGCATTTCTGTCAGCTTTGTCTTCTTTCTCATCATCAGTGACAGGAGCCTCTTTGGCAGCCTCGTTCCTGCTCTGGCTATTGGCAGAGATCTGCCCTAGAAGCAGCTTTGTATCGTCTCTGAGGTTGCTGCTTGAGATCACGTTGGCTGTTGATGATTGGAAGCGAGACTGGCTAGATTTGGGCTGCTTGGACTGTGGTGACGAAGGAACATCTGGTGTGATCTCTGGCGTTCCGGAGCAGTTGTTCTGGCTTACTCGTTCATTCGTTTTTTCATTACCAACCGACTCCCGTGTACTAGTCTTATTGACCTTATTTGTTGCCTTGGTATCACCAGTTTTCTTCGCAACAGGGTCAGTCTTTTCAGTCTCTTTCCTTGCTTCATTCTGACTGTCCATATGTTTAGCAGGTACAGGTGGCTCTGAAGGATTGCTTTTTAGATCTGGTACATGACATATTTCAGGCAATGAAGGGCTAGCAAGCTTGCTATCAGCTTTGACATCCTCTGATGATCCAAGAACCTTTGATTCCTTTCCAACACCCTTTGTTGTTTCAGTCTCAGGTGACAGAGAAGAAGGAATTGAAGATGATTCTGTTTCAGGAGGAGTGGGAGTGACAGAACTTGTCACGTTGAGTTTGGAGGGAGGGGTCGCTTGTCTTTCTGATTGGGAAGCATCAGTAGTAGAGTCTGGGTTGACAGGAGAGCTGGTTTCTACTGGATAATGGTTGGGTAGAGGGACTGCTTGGGTGGGGGAAGCAGTATTAGTCTCATTTTGAGCAGATTTGGATTGACTCTCTAGGTCAGATACATTAGGTAGACATGTTTCAGGCAATGAAGGGCTAAGGCTAGCAAGGATATCTTTTTCGGAAGGTGTAGGAGCACTTGATTCTTCAGAGTCTGTCATTGTATGGGACTGTAGTGAAGGTTTGTTTGGCTCTGAACCAGCAGCACATGTGTCAGGAGAAATGTCAGATTCCACATGTGCAGAGTCAGTTGCTGAAATGGTATCAGGTGACGTCAGATGGGAGTGTGCTGGCAGGGAGGGGCTGACAGATTCCTGTGCATTAGGGGACAATATGCTGGGAGTTACTGTTGAGCTTGAGTCTTTCTGGGTAACACTAGAAGATATGGATTCTGATGAAGTGGAAGAAATAGCACGGCTAGACGAAGAAGGACTTGGACTGATCTGTGAACCAGTGACTGGCATAATTTGTTCAGAGGATGAGCTTTGGCCTGAAATGCTGGTTTCTAACTGAAGGGATTCATGGCTTGGAGTGTTTGAATCCAATACAGCTAATCCAGAAGATGGTGGGACCTTCTCTGAACTGGGAGTGGGTGAACTAGACTCTTTTGAGGTAGAATCAAGGCAGGGGCTTTTACTTTTATCTGTACCTTGTGCAAGGGATTGCACGCTAGCTGGAGTGGCATTTGTTGGTGTAGGGGGGTGGCTGGAGCTACTTGTTTTTACAGCAGGATTTGACAGCTTTGGCTCTTCTGGTGATTGGCTCTGAGGTTTTGACGTTTCTGCAGAAACAGTTGCTTTTGTTTGGTTGTTACTAAGCTCTATCTTCTCCAAATCAGTTGGAACTCTGGTTTGTTCTTGTTTACAGCTTTTGGAGGCATCCAAAGATAGACTGGCTGCTTTGAATGCTTCTGTAGATACTGGTTTCCCTGCATCCTTGGCATTAGCATTTTTATCTAATGAACCCTTAGATATAGAAGCATCAGCAGTCTTTTCTGAGGTTTCTTTTGGTACAGGCTTCTCCTTTTCAACGGCTGTGTTGCTTTTCAGCTCAATTGGTGATTTCATTGGAGCCTTCTCTTTGCTCTTTTCAGCGTCTGCAGAATTAGCAGCTTTGCGTTTTGCTGCCAGTTCTTTGAAAAACATGAGCCTATTATCAGGATCAGACATGTCTACATACAAAGGAGCGGTGAGCAAAGGTTTGGGTGGCTCTACTGGTTGATCCGTTTTTGGCAGCTCAGTTTCAGAAGCTTTGGATTGGGGCACTGATGGTGAAGAATCTGCTTGCTCTACACTTGGTTGTTTTAATGTGTTTTGTGCCTCTGAAAGATCCTCTGAATTTGTATCCTTTGGTGAATCTTTATTATCTGGCTTACTGTTACCATCATCTGGTTTGGATTGGTCTGTGGCCGAGTTTTCAAAGGTGGCTGACTTCATGTAACGACTCCACTCAAAAGGTTCTCTTGCAGTCCTCCTTTGTCCCATAACTTGAGAAACAAAAGGCAGTTTTGTCTGTTCTGCCTCATCTTTGTCTCCTTCCTCATCCTGTTGGTCACCTGGAGCAGTGTTCTTCTGGTCCAGAGAGCTGAATATCATAGAGGATCTTAGCCTAGAGCTCCTCGGTATAGCTGCATTGTATTTCCGACGGAACGACTCCTCCCTTCGAAGGCCAGACATTTTTGGTTCCTTTTGTTCTACGTCCTCTAGTTTCTCCACTTCAGTTGTGGATGATGAGGATTCTGAAGGTGTTGGTGTTGTTTTTATTTCCGCTGCTACTGCAGTGTTTTCATCAGGCAATTTCCTTGGCTGTCTTGTGGTGACAAAACTTGGCATCTGACTTGCCCTTGGTATTGCAGGAACCCTAAATTCTCTGTAATTAGGCATTTTTGGGAGTGCTAAATCTATGCCTGCTGTTTGCTGTATGGGGTTAGAGGGCACTTCAAATGGATCCTGTGCATTTAGTGGTGCTGATGGCAGGCCTTCCTCTTCTGGATTATCATGTGCACTTAGAAAAGAGCTAATCCTCCAGTTTCTTAGCCCCCGTTTCACCAAAGGATCCTTGCGGTCAGTGATAGGCTCCTGGAAAGACTGCTTCTGATCAGTTGGATTTGATGGGGTGGGAGACGCTTGAAAGGCTTGTTGGTTGCCTAGACTCGATCTTCTAGGGTGAGATGAACCAAACGGAAAATCTGCTACAGGTTGCAATTCTTCTGAGCCTTTGTCAAACTCGGCAATCCTGGTAGATGTTAAATAGTTGAGCACAGGGTCAAAGTTATCACCTGGTTCGACCTCTGGAGGTAAACCAGGCTCAATATTAGGATCTGCCGAATAGAAGTCTTGGTTCCAAAACTTCTCATTGGCACCGGTATCTGCCTCTCTTCCTGGGGCTGGACCAGGCTGCTGCCCCCTGTAGAACTGCCTTCCCAGTTTCTCAGATTCTGGCATTCCCTGTTGCTGCAGGAATGGCAAAGAGTATCTACCATGACTGCCTTCAGCATAACTGTGACGTTTGAAGGCAGGATTTTCCATCATGGATGGATCCATGCGAGGATGCTGGGGTGTAAATCTACTGTGCATGTCTGCAGGGCCTTGCAAGGATTCCTGCTTTTTAAGGGCCATCATTCTCAAATCCATGCGTTCACTGTAAGGATGCCTTAGCCCATCATCTGGATGACCGGTGTCCAGTGACTGAAATTTCTTTGTCTCTCTGTACATTGTTCTTTCAGTTGGATATTGCCTCTTTTGTGAAAGGCTTAACTCTTCCATTGGAGCAAGGTTTTCAATAATCAGTGGTTGGGACTGAGCAAAAAGAATCCTAAACTCTTCATCAAAGGTCGTAACGAGCTGTCCAAGAAAAAGGTGTGCCATACAGCGGTGGAGCTTCTCAAAAGACCACATGAAGCTAGACAGAGACATGACAATAAGTATGAATTAACAGAAGCACTTCATTCATGACATACACATTTTATACAAAAAGAAACTAACTAAATGTATTCATAAAAACATATATCTATCACTCAAATTCTTGTTTGGTATGCAAGTGTAGAGGCGTGGCTTTCTGTGGCAGTTTTAAATGTGTTCACCTGTAGTTTCCACTCAGCACAGCCCTGCAGTCTGTCAACAAGAAGCGGTCCATCATCTGACCTGTGAAGGTGCTCCCTGAGCGGCAGTGGTACTTGATGCCTGACACTGTTCTCACGCGTAAAAGCTGCCAGACACACATAACCCAAAAATAAATATCAAGACACACGTTTACATATAGTGGGGTTAATGTTTAATTGCAGTCCAAGCATTGTTTTAGCAAAACGAAAGGGCTCCATCTCAAGTTGCTTTACATAGTAGTATGCTGTTACTGTGATTTCTATCAATAAAAAAAACGGTCTATTCTTAAGTATATTTTGTTTGCTCAATTTCTTTTGGAAAGGGTACAATTCAGTTCGAATAAGAGTAATCTCAATTAAGTTAAAAGGGCACTAGCCACATAATGTTGGCAAAGGAAAAGCTGATAAGTTGTCTTTGTTTGTATGAGGGAGTCACCTCTAGCAACAGCTGTGGTGTACCCACTGCACTTCTGCTTTTTTCAACAAGTTCCGTTAATATGGGCAGAGAATGACAATTTAAGGATATGTCTATTCTATATTTTTGTCAACTTATCCTGTGACTCATTACTATGTGACTTTCCTACTCTGTCTCCTACCATTTTTTTTAAAATTGAGGATTAGTCTTTGAAAATGAATGACATATATAAGCACAGATATAGCATGTCACTGTTTTTTTTAGCAAATTACTCTCAATCAGAAGTAAATAGAAAACTTGATGGAGACTTTATTTCAGCTCTGTTTGGTGCTCAAGTGGGTTAGTAACTGCAGCAACACAGTGACTCAAAGTAAACTACAGATCATCGGACAAAGGCCAGTGCAGCATTGTGCAACAATAATGTGTTTTCATAATTAGTTTGTTAGTCAGTCTAAACTAATTCAGTTTTGAAAACACATTATTGTTGCCCAATGCAGTCAGTAAGTTAGTTAGTGAGTTAGTTTCAGTTAAATTAGTTATTTACTTCTACTTTCCAGGTTCGCACATTTGAAGAAAAGGGAAACATGAATAGAATTTAAATGTGTAATCAGCCTTTTCTGTTTGTTATTTTAACAGATTTTTTGAAGAAAAATGTGCTCACTTGAATGCTTTGTAGATCAACTCTACAGTTAGAAACCATGTTGATGAAGTGATGTGCGTTCTGCTTGTCTAAAAGGACGTAGACAGCAACATTTCTCATAGCAGCATTGAGAATATCCGCAAGTATGTCAACATCAGTAAACATGTCCATCACTATGGCAATCACCTGAGGAGATAGAAGCAAACAAACACATTGTAAAAAACACTGTCAGGAGAATGACACTACTGACAACTTAAGCAGGAAGTCTCATAGAAAGTGAAAGATCTACCTGCCGAGCATTCTTGATAAGTCGTCGGGCCTGCTCCTTGATACTCGGCATGTCAGGCTCAGGGGGGTTGACCAGAGTGGTGACCTCTGTGGGCCCGATGAAGTGGTGCATCTGAGGCCAGCCGAGGTCCAAGCCTGGGACGTCCAGGTCAGAGTGAATCGGCCAGTAAGTGTCTGAGGAGCCATCTCCTTCATCCTCTTGATAATATTGTTCAGGGTTGTTGCTCTGCTGAGGCACCTGAACAGAGCTTGAGATATACTCAATCTCAGATGAGGCCAAGAAGTCAACCACATCTGCTTTTTGGAGAAACTGGTAGTATCCTTCCAATTCTTCCTCAATGAGAGCGTCAATAGCCAAGCGATACTCTTCCCGATAGTGAGGGGGGAGGTAGTTGGGGTCCAGGGGGTTATCCCCGGCAGAGGAACACTGAGAACGATGTGCCATACTGAAGTCTAAAGAGAAGGTTAGAGCAAAAAGAGTCATGTGATAAATTCAATGTATTAATCATTTTAAAACCACAAATATGTTTCAGTTTATCTAGATATCACAACAAGAACACCAGCAATATAGTTCTGAATGATACCTTAACTAGATCTAAAACAATTTTGATAATTTTACTGTTAAAAAACACTTTTTAAACAAAAATGGCCACATTTCTCTGGTTCCTGTGTCTCAGAAGAACAGGTATAACATAATACCCCACCCACCCTCTCCACCTGCAGCTGGACAGACAGCAGAGCTCCTTCTCCAACAGACTGCTGCAGCTCCGCTGTCACAAGGACAGATACAGGAACACATTCCTGCCTACTGCAATAACTGTACAACAAATCACCTCTGGCTGGCAGAGAACTCTCTGATCCATAGCTTCTCTTAATAACTGGACTTAAAATCACACTGTACATTTTACATTTATATTCAATTTAATATTGCATTCCTTACACACTTAATGTGTATATAATATCCTGCTTTATATTTAGTTACTGTAAGTTTGTATTGCAACATGTATATGTTATTTTATTGCTATTTTATTTTTATTTGAGATATTTGCATTTTGGATTGTTAATTTATAGTCTTTTAATTTCTCTAATGTACAATGCGTTGTCTTTTTATGCTGCTGCAACACAAACATTTCCCAAATTGGAATCAATAAAGTTACTTCTTATCTTATCATATACAAGTGAAAAATCTGCATAGGAAACACATAAATCATAACATTGACATCTCAAGGGAACATTTGACCAACTTATCGGATCGAGAAATAATTATCAGCTGCACCCCATCAATTCCTTTTAATCGTGTATTTTCTAGGAATCAAGTTATGACATGATCACATCCTGTCATTTTACATAATTCTGTTGTCCATAAAACTGGAAACTGTAGTTTTGGTGTTAACTTGTGTAAAATGTAACAAGTGTTTTATTTGATTAAGCATCATGCTATTTTTGAATTAATTTGCCATATTGTGATGAATATTAAGAACAGACATTGATCTTATTTATATTATGACATGCATTGCTACCATACAACACAGACCTATAGCTAAATAATGTTCATTATTTTTCAGATATTTATCTTCCATAATATATGCAGCCAAGAGGATTCCTATCAGTTAAAAATAACTAGTTTCAGCACAATGAATGAGGGGAGCAGGAATCTAACCACAGGATAGATGGGTTTTGGGTGTGGCTCCTCCCTCTGGCCAAAAGCACAAGTCTCCATTTGCAAGCTCATATTGTAAAGCCACTAATATGCGAAGTGCCGAGAGGAAACGTAACAAACCGAACAAAAAACCCCAAAAAAACACGAATGACATAACTTTAACATAGAACAAATGAGGCAACACACTGACACTTAAAGTGGTTAGCCAACGGAAGGTTTGAAAGTCCAATGTTGTATCGACAAACACTTTTTCCTCTGAGCAAGATGACATATCGGAATTCAAATAAACGTAACGTATATGTACAACTTTATATCCTAACCGCGTAAATAATATGGTAGTTATTTTGTGAACTTACCACACTGTTATTGGCTCTTTACGCTTCTCCTTGGTTAAACGTTAAGTCCGTCATCTTGCCTTCTTCACCATGTTTTGCTCCGCCGCTGGGACTCGTCGAAAGTTTCCTGTTACATTAATTTTTCCCCGTCACCCAGCTAAACCTGTTTATTATCATGCTTGAGGCATGTTGGCGAGAATGTTGGAGACAGCAAACAGAGAGTGAGAAAGACTTGCCGTCGATAAATGTCGCCCCGCCTCGACGTTAGCTCCACACAGACAGTTGACTTCTGCTCTTCACAGCTCTGTGTGTTCATGCTTGTCTCAGGCTGAACTCTGCTCATGTGTAATCTGTCCACTGGATCTCCAGCTGGCTGCTGCTACATCTGCGATACTGCTAAGTGGATCATTAAGGTGATATGAGGCCTAATATACCTGCTCATATTCATTAATGTGTAAAACCTTTGTCATAACTCCTTATTAAACCACCCCTAATTGTACCAGACATTCTTCACATTCATTTAAATATGAAACCAAATGTTTATTTTTGTAATATCTGGAAAACAGATATCATTTATTATAAATTGAAAATATATATAGAGAGAACATAGAGCTGACATATCAAAGGACTAAAAGGAGATTACTTGCTTCTTAAAATAATTAATAAAGGTGTTATTATTAAGCAGATGTGGAAGAAGTACTCAGATCTTGTACTTGATTAAAAGTAAAAAGACCAGAGTGTAGAAATATTCTTTTACAAGTAAAAGTCCCGTATTAAAAAGGTTAAAAGGTAAATGTAGTGGAGTAAAAGTACATAGCATAATGGAAATACTCAAGTAAAGTACAAGTTTCTCATAATTGTATTTAACTACTTGAGTATAATGTACTTAGTTACTTTACACATCTGTTATTAAGTAAGACTTGCGTTGCAAGTTTATGGAAAAACATTAACATATCCATTACTGGATTACAAGGGATTATAGCAGGCATTGTCCCGGGTCCCCAGACCCTTGGGGGGGCAAAGGCTCAAAGTTGGGGTTGTGCATCATTCTTTTAAATACTTTTTGTAAAAAAGAGCAGCTTGCAGTACATAACCCGCTTATTACATTGCTCCTTACTAAATATACCTACTAAACCTTACTCAACCAACATATTGATCACTTATTGAAAAATTATGATTTTTTGCTTATTTATTTCTCATCCAATGATTCATGACACCAAAGAGCCCAGGGACCCTGCCCAATTTACCTAAACAAGGATATATATAATTGCACTCAGGCATGGCTAGCCAAAAATGATCAGACCTTTCAAAAGCAAAACCTTATCAGATGCCCAGAAGTGGCAAGGGAACAGAACCACATTTAAAGTTGTAAATCAAACAACCAATCTCTCAAGTAAAGAGTGAAGTTAGGCATTTTGTGTGGCAACAACGTTAACCTTGAATGTGATCAACTTACACCCCTTTCAGCTGGAAAACAATCATCAGCCATGCATGCATAGCCTTGAAGTTGGAGGAAGGCCGTCAGTATATCCAAGATAAGAGCTTGAGCCACACATTTGGTTAAAACCTGAAAGGAGAGAGAAAATGAATGACCAAATAAAGTAATATTCCTTAACTTGTTGCACACTAAGACCTGAAATAGCCTCGGCAGGATAAAATCTGATGACTAAAGAAAAGGAAGTGATGCAATGTTGCTGCTCGAGTGAAGACTTGAAGACAATTCCTCATTGTTGCCTTCAGGCACCACCCAAGGCACACATAGGAGCAGTAAGAATATAAACATGACAATAAAGTGTAACTGAGTTCATAGATATTTGCTAAACTACATACTGAGTGCAGCAATTACAAATGTCTTTCGTCTTTTAACTATGTGGCTCTGAAAATTGGCAAAAAATAAAATGTATTAGCATTAGTGCCCTTCCTTCTAGTTTTTTGACTGACAGGTTTGATTATGAAACATGATCTTGGCCAACTATGATTCATAGCTGGATCCCTTACCGTTAAAAAAACATCTCCAGGAATGTATCAATCAAACGCATAAAGGGTAACTGATAGATTTCTGTGATAACATAATCTCCATCGAAATGAACTGTTATTGTTGAAGGTGAACAAAGATGCAGTACCGCTTGGAATAAATAGTAGATTATACTATATTTTATATAACTGTGTGTACACATTGAGGCCTTGTGGATTAGGTCTAGTTTATTCAAAGGATTAATATATAACATTTCTACTGTGTCGGACATCCTCTAAGGTCAACAGATTGTTCGCCAGTTTATCACCAGTTCACCTCCTGGCCACTGTGTGGTTGATGTGACAATTAAAAGAGGATTTTATTCAAATCCTCCATTTTCACATCTATCTCATCAAACTGAGGGCTGTGCTTTTACATGTAACGTGAACAAAAGAAGAAACTGTTGACATCTTTCACATGCAGATGTGACAGAAGCCAACCCGAGAGGTTTGGGCTTCTATTTATAACCATCCACTGTATAAACTCAAAGCAAAACGACACTTGATTACCTCTCCCCTTCCCAAGGAAATGCCTTTTCTCGCAATGTTAACAAAAGTACAAATTATTTGACCATCTGCCATGTGATGGATCCACTCCAAAATGTGTTATTTTTTGGCCCATGCTACTCTGAAAAACTAACCTTATCATAATGGGTGGATGTATATATGAAACTCCCATGTATTAATGCTAAAGAGGACATTAGAAAACCCACTTTTAGTAGAACAATAAAACTGTGCTTCATTGTAGGTTAATTTAATCTTTAGACTTTTGGTTCAGGGGAACTAATGGTAATGGATTATTAAACTCATAGCAGGAGAATAAATAAGGATAACTGCATCAAAGCGAAAACTTACCACACTGTTTTTTATTTGAAAATTAAAAGCCTCATTAAAAGGGTGAGGTCTGACACGTGTCGGCAGGTCGCCTTTTAATGTGGGCACCCGCATGTCTGCACAGGTGTCAAAAGGGATAGTTTTTAGCCATGGGAGCCGCAAGGGGTGGAAATATCAATCAACAGGTTTTTGATGCTGAAAAATATCTCAACTTTATTGGATAGACTTCGATGACATTTTGCACAGAACACTTGCAGAATAAAAAAATGTAAGCGAGTTTGGGGATCCAATTACCTAACATTTGGGTTTTCAAATGTAATGTCTCAACAACAACTGGATGGATTGCAAATACATTTGGTTCACATATTCATGTCTCCCTAGTTTATTATAGGGTTGATCCCCTGACTTGTCACCCCGGGCCATCATCAGGTTGTCCAACACTTTGGATGATGACTAAATACATGCCAAGCTGATCATTTCCCCATCAACCTCAGTTAGAGTTAGCATCCTAACAGGCTAAACTAAGATGTTCAACATGGTACGTTATAACTGCTATCTACATAAGCACTGCCTTTGTGAACATATTAACATAATTTATGTTAGCATTTAGGACAGCCTCTACCATAGAGCTGACTCCCTATACACATTATGAATGAGCAAGTTTTGACAAATTATATCTTTGGTCATAGAATTATTTTAACAGCCATTGTTCAAGTACTTTTACTTTGGTGGCTAACCACCACTTATTTTTTCAACTTGGAAACTGTGTGCTCATCTTTTATAATGTCTTAAGACTCTAATGATTAGGAGAGCAGGAGGAGGAAGATTGTCATGGGAGAAGGAAGAGGATGAGAAAGCAAAGGAAAAAGGAAGAGCAGCAGCTGCAGAATGGCTTTTGTCGATGCATCATTCTAGTGAGCAAACAGGAAGTCTTGGAAGTTTGCAAAGAGGTGAGATAACACTTAGATGGCCCTCATAGAGTGAGGAAGTCCAAACCGAGAGGATGATGAATTAACACACTTACCAATAAGCACAAGAGGAAACACATGGACTAGACTATTACTTGTAGTGTGGGGACGACTGGCCATGATACAAAGTCCATAACACCTACCAAACCTGTCTTACAGTGATTCAGCTGAGATCACAACATTATTTTACGTGATTTAAAAAGAGGCCAAAGGAGAATTTGGTTTGAGATTAGTCAATGTGTGAGGAGGATCCACCCTTATCAGTAGAGGAAAGACATGCTCTATATTTGTCCCTTGGAGAGGCCATGACAAATTCCAAAGGTGTTTCCACATCTTGTGTCGCTAAGAGATATTGTACACCTTTCAGTTCCTCTGTCATTGAGTCCACTGGCAGTGATTTCTCTACAGCTTTGACAGAGGAGAGTGGGGGTCTTCGACTAGACATAAACACACATGTGATACAAAACAAAAGCAGTGGAAACAACAGGCTCTTGTCAGTGTGGTATGTATAGACACACACCAGCATGGAGGTGTGGAATGGTTCCTGCCTGGTTGTGTTTAAGCTAAGATGCGTTTGGGTTAGTACAGAGTCAGAGTCACTCACCCAAATGCACTTTACTCGAGTCACTTAAACAACTGCCTTAGGTGAGTGACTCATACAAAGTCAGTCAACCAAAGGTGAGTTATTAACATGATCCATTTCCACACATATTGTTTATAAAAGAGTTGCACAATAGTGTGAGTGACACGTGGTATCGCCTTTATCGACAGTTTGCACAAGCTACTGAATTTTGAAACAAATCCAGTAGCTTTTTATATGTATCTGTTTATAAAAATTGGAACAAAAAAAATTATTTCTATTTTCAAATAATATAATGATTAAATTATATTCTTTACTGTTATTAATTTTGAGTTATTATAATTATGTCTACTATACCATTTTAATTTAATTTATTTCAATTAATTTATTACAAAAATATAATATGTTTTTTGATGATTTAAAATTATTATGATTATAATAATGTAATATAATTATGATACCTTACAATGTATTCGGTTAATAATTTTAAGGCTTACATTGTCCAGGTACCGACATACACTTACACCATACACCATACATGCACACAAGCACACTCACACACACACAATTATTGTATTACATTCATGCAAGTATTGATGAGGATTTGTGATTTCAGTCAGTGACACCATTTGTTCATTTCAAACACGGGCGTAGTACTGAGCAGCATGTTTGCATTTGTATCTGATTTGCATGTCATTTTGCATGTTGGCAGTGTTTGTGTATTATGGAGTGCATTCTCCTCCGTGCGTCTATGGGTTATAAAAGGGTGTGCTGAAAGATTTATACTCTCATTTTAAGAATCCTCTTCAGTCACAATAAGGATTTTCTTTTCTGCTTATTGTGCATGCATGTACCTGTGCATGCTTGTGCGCACCTGCACGTTTGAGTGTAATCACATTAGTGTGTGTGTGTGTGTGTGTGTGTGTGTGTGTGTGTGTGTGTGTGTGTGTGTGTGTGTGTGTGTGTGTGTGTGTGTGTGTGTGTGTGTGTGTGTGTGTGTGTATGTGTCATTGCGTGTGGCAGGTCGATACAGGAATGGCTGCTTCAGTTGCCATTTGAGTTTCAGCGGAAGGCGACACAAAAAGGCTAAGAGTAGAGTATAGGGGCCAAAAAGGAGGCCTTTACTGACCTATGAGGTACACAATCAGTTTTGACCCCAGCCAGGCACTCTGATAGGATGAAACTGTAAACAATGTCTTCAACAAAGAGTACATTTACACCTCCCTACAGGAACACGCAGACTGCGTGGGGCCTCACCTCGTGGAGGGGGCCTCACCTCGCGCTTATGTGGCTCCACTAGCACAGCCCCCCAGTCGTTGTCCCGCAGACGCTCGCGACACAGAGGGCCTCATCATATAACTTTGCGTGGGGCCACAAGTTGACCAGGGGTGGCCCTGGATTTACACAAGAGAATAGCTGCCTATAAATTGACGTCATAATTGCTGCCTGACAACACAGTAAATGAAGAACCTAGAACAGCAACTGTGCTTTACATTTACAGTGTCTCCTTCCTTCCAATACTTTGTTTGCTTCCAGTTCTATTGTACTGTATCCTGTGTCACATCCTGTAGCTACAGCACAAACTGGAATGTCCCACATAGAGTCAGGGACACGTCTCAGGATGAAATCATATCCCTGCAATATGTAAGCACAGATAACACAATGGCCGATCATTTCCCTCGGCCTAGAGGAGAGGTGGAGGAACTTAAACCAGAACAGCGTCGATGCGCACATCTGGATTGAATTAAAGTCCATGAACTAAAATATGCGTGACATCATAGTGATGTCACTCGTAGCTCTGTGGGTGCACCTCCGTTACATGAAGAGGCTGCACAGAGCAGAATGAGCAGATCATCTGATGCAACAAAGTAGGACATGGATTGATCAGAGTCCCATTTCTGTCATTGTATACCAGTTCCAAAGTGACTTCTTTCTTACATACTCCAGTGACATTTCAGGCTGCGTTCTTTGCTGTTATCGCGTCTCATCTGTCTGAGTCTGACTGTGGTTAGCTGGTTTATGGTACGGAATTCATGTTGGCAAAGGCCCAAGGAGCAGCATAACAAGCAGCTGAGCTACTTAACTGTGCCAAATTACCTCTCAAGGCTGGTTGCTACAAGCCTATGCTTTTATACAAAATGTGGAATAGGTTACACAGAAACACCCAGATTTATAGCTGAGTTTCCTTTGTTCAGATGCTCTCCTGGGACACCGTGGGATTAACAAAATCCAAAATAATAACAGGTCAGAAGTATCATGTTACTGTATGAGATGGTAAGGTTAGTCTGTTTCTCACCTTGAGTTTCACAAAACTAAATAAGCTTTCCTAACTTTAAATTGAAATGGTTCTTACTATGGACATGGAGTCTTAAATAATTATTTCTAAGGGGCTTTCGGGTTGGAGGGTATTATCACAACACCCCTAACAATCTCTGTCCCTTCACATCTTAAAAAAGGGTTGTAAAATTTAAAAAACTTAAACTAAATTTCCAAGTTTTTTCATATAATGTCATTTTTTAATCCAACACATATATATTTTTTACTTCAGTTAGACTGGTAGAAACTTAACCCAGATGTGTTACTCACTTCCTTCCTCATTTGATATGTTCTGCATGCAGGTATTTGAGGATAGTGCATTCAGGTTGGACTGCATTGAGACGCTCTCGCCAGTCATGTCATCTAAACAGCGCCACACCCCGGATGGCCTACCCGCAGAATGTTATCCTGCTGAGGTCATCCTGCCTGAGGCCGAAGTTCTGCAGCCTAGCAACATAATTTCGAAAGCTTCTGTAACATTCACCGAGACAAATTGGAGCATAGATTAGTGTTCATTTTAAGAAACATTCTCAGAAAGATACCTCTGAGACCACTTGTATTTTTGTGGATTTTGGACTACCGTTCTGCTGATCTGCAGATCAAAAAGACATTTGGCTCTGTGAGGAATGCAGACATACTTGGTCAGGCCAACTACGTTCACAGTGGAAGGTTACAGTGAATCCCTTTGAAGTATGTGCAATGCAGTAAAGTGTAAACCATTTTTCGCTTTTGATATTTTTTTCTTGCACATACTTAAGATAATAAATAAAAATGGCTTTGCCTAAACAGGTTATAGTATCTGGTGGGATGGAAACCAAGGGATTTGGAAGAAGAGTTTTACATACAGATTTACCGACATGGAATTTGAACTTTTCATTTTGTTATTGCTATACACTAAAATCTTCAGTAGTTAACAATTGAAAGATAAAGTCAGACATTAGTGATAAGTTGAAAAATATCAATTTTGTGATTAACTGCTCACTACATTTGGCAGGCATACTTCTTATGACAGGTATTGATCTTTGATTGATTCCAAACTCAGACCTTTATTGTGACAAGCTAAAGATATCTTCCCCAGGGACAATTGACTTGATCTTATTATTGACTTGAAAGTGCTTTTAACAATTTACAAGGCTTTGCAGGACCTTAGATATAACAGTGACTGTGTTTCATTTTACAAACCTACAAGCACATTCAGATTATCCAATGTCTTTCTTTTAGAGGTACCTAGAGTATTTTACAAGAGATCTGGGGAGGCTGCTTTCTGTTTTTATGGCCCCAAACTGTGGAACTGCCTCCCATTGGATCTTAAAACAGCAAACTCCATTGGAATTTTGAATAGTAAATTAGGGACCTATCCCTTTGGCTTTAGATTTTGGGGTAATTATAGTGGTATCACTGTTGATGTTTTATTGTGATATGACTCTTTCTGTTTGTTTATAACTTTTTTTAAATTATGTTACTTACTCTTTATACTCTATCTTGTCTTACTCTGTAAAGCACTTTGGGCTGCATTTTGCATGAAAGGTGCTATATAAATAAAGTGTATTATATATATATTTTTTGTATTTAGCCTTTATTTATACAGGTGAAAATCTCATTGAGACACAGGGTCTCATTCTCAAGAGAGACCTGTTCAGTGGTAACACTACCACACAAAGTTACAGACAGACAGACAGACAGACAGACAGACAGACAGACAGACAGACAGACAGACAGACAGACAGACAGACAGACAGACAGACAGACAGACAGACAGACAGACAGACAGACAGACAGACAGACAGACAGACAGGACAATAAACACAAAGGCAACAATAAAATAAAATATCGTAAAAAGTATATATATAGTCAAATATTGCAGGTGCCCACAGCCTTACCCACAGATGATTTCTCCAGCTTTTTTAAATCTCTGATGGGTATCAAACTGGTCAGCTTAAGTTCCTGCTGAAGTGTGTTCCAGGGTGAGGGGGCAGAGTATGATATGGCTTTTTCCCCAAGCTCTGTGCATACTGAGGGGACAGACATTTTGAGGTCGTAGTCTGTACTGTTTGTGTGATATGTAAGTGGATATGTAGAGGGGCAGCAGTCCAAGCATGGTATAGATATGATATAGTGATGCCCAGTTAACTAAAGAGTACAGCGTCCAAAGGTGTGTGAGGGGTTTACAGTTGGTTATGAACCTCAGAGGCCCATTGTAAACAGCGTCCAGCAGATGAAGGGAGTGAGCTGAGGCGTTCATGTACACAACATCCCCGTATGGCAAGACCGGCAAAAATGTGGCAGCTACAAGCCGTTTCCTAGCACTGGTGGAGAAGCAGGCATTGTTTCTAAAAAAGAATCCCAGTTTTAATTTCAGTTTCCTTAAAAGATTGTCAATATGAGGTTTAAAGCAGAGGTTTTCATCTATAGCGATGCCTAGCGGCCCCTTGGCCCCCCTGCGTCCAGCGCCCCTGCTAAGTATCTGTAGGTGTGTTAACAGCTTCAATTGGGTTATACTGTGCAGACATAATGCAGGGAAGAACAGTTGGTAAGTTTTTCTTATTGGAAAACAACATGACTTTTGTCTTGTCTGAATTTAACACCAACCTGAGGTGGAACAGGTGTGACTGAAAAGTGTGAAAAGCAGACTGCAGACGTTCAAATGCAAGGGCAACAGTGCTAGTGCCACTTCATTCCAGAGTTGGACATGCCAGAGACACAAACACGTCTGTGTGATCAGTGTTTTATCAGTTTAAAGAGATCAATAAGAAAAGGAAATTACGTAGTAAACAAACCAGAAAAAAAATAAAAAAAAGTAATTTGTGATACTACAGCAGAAGCTTATGCTTAAAATGTAATGTTATATATTAAATTGTGTACACAGAAATATTTTTAAAGAGACTATATTGAGGAAAATGTAATCTTTTTTTCTGTAGGCAAACGACTTACTTTAGATGTGTCTAAGAAGACAAAAAACATTATTCTTATTAACCATCATCTGGCGCTGTGAAAATATCAAAGCTTAGAAGTTCCAAAGATATCTACCAGAGAAGAAGACTTTTAACCGGCCCCGCCCACATGCTGCCTCCCCGCGCAGAATCATCAAAGATCATATATAATTAAGGCAATAACTCACTTGAACACCAAAGAGTGGTAGCTGAAACATCTTTTTAAATCAACAGCCACGCATTACATAAATGAATAAACTTAGTTTTATTTCACTTTTTTTTTAGGTTAAATCACTCAATTTAACCTTTTCCATAACGCCACAATTTGTGTTATAATTTGGAAAGTTAAGCGTTTACATGATGACTTTCACTGTTTCACTGATATTTGGAGCAGAGTAAGACCTCCTCCTATTTTCACATCTCTGGCCCCATGCACGCTATTTTTCTTGCAGAGATGAAATTCTACATTTAAGACTAAATATATACATTTGTATGCACATATAAAGTTATTCCCAGCGTTTACCTGCTGTTTAACTCACCCTGAAGTTAGTTGGCAGCACTGTGAACATGGCAGGTGTTATCCGGAGGCTCGACGAGGCTGTTGTCAACCGGATAGCAGCCGGAGAAGTTATCCAGCGTCCTGCCAACGCCGTCAAAGAACTGATTGAGAATTGGTAACTGACTGTTAACAGTTAACCTAAATTATACAGTTATACAGTGCCTAATCTTAGCCTTTTGACTTGTGGAGAAAACAAAGGGACACAATATGGCAGAAGCCACCATTGTTTACATCACGTTTTTAGCAAATCTGCTTATCAACACACCTGTAACATAGCGACAGCCACGTGAACCTGCTGACTAGATAATTCCACTGAACTTGTTAGATATCTGTTTATTTAATAACACTCTTTTATTTTGCATGTTAAAGTTTGGATGCCAAGTCCACCAACATTCAGGTGACAGTGAAAGACGGCGGCCTGAAGTTCCTTCAGATTCAGGACAACGGAACTGGCATCAGGGTGGGTGAAGAAGAAACACCTCTGCTTGGGTGGTGGAAAACAATGTTTTGCAAATTGAAAGTACAAGTGGTAGATTTTTATGAAAAGTGCGATCTTTTAAGATGAGAGCAGACAACTGGCTCAGTATTAAACAGAGATGGAAAACCATGAAGTTAACACTACGCAAATATCAACCTATGAAATAAAACTACTTAAAAAAAGGATCCTCTTAGTTATATCAAAGGCAGTGAATAGTATGAAATATGCTATTTAACTTTTTTTTTTTTTTTTTTAAATGTAAAGAATAATAGCACTTCCTCGTTTCAAAGAATTCCCCACATTTTTTTCACACACACACCTTAAATATCATTTTTTAAAGTCTTTTAACTTCGGAAGATTATTTAGCAATGTCTGTGGCACTCGATTATGAATGCATTTCCGATTTTTTTGTTTGGATGTGATAGCTTTACTTTATTATGCCACAAAATTATAAATGTAGTTGTAAGAAAGAAAAAAAACTAGCGTAAATATGTTTTAATTGAAAAATTATTTTTTCATATAAAGAAAATATGTTTTATTAATTTAAGTACTCAGCAACAAATATTTACATGAACACCTGTTTCAGATTATCCCTAGGGTTTCATGGATGTTCCGTATAGCTCGTAACCAAATCGGGTCAAAAATAAGAAATTGGTGAGGCTTGGAATACAAAAACCTCCAAAACTTCACAACTAAAAAGTGTATGGAGTGCAGCTTTATGATTTTGCAAGGTCCCATGAATTTAATATAAATATTTCAAATACATTATTTTTTAGAAAATCCACCACATGACCTGTGAGGTCTCGGTGAGTCAGTGTTGAATGACTCCCGTCAGTTTGGATTTGGATTCAGTGTCTTGTTTTCCCTCGCCCACTGTGTGAGTTCTGTAAACTGTGTCCCTGACTTTTTATCCTGTAGTTTCCTCTTACGGAGCTGTTTTTTTTATTTCCGATGCAGAGAGAAGATATGGAAATAGTTTGTGAGAGGTTTACCACCAGCAAGCTGCAGACATTTGAGGACCTCTCAGCTATAGCCACCTATGGATTCAGAGGAGAGGTAAAATTGCAGCAGAACCCCCCCTAAGGCTGTAAGATATTTATAAATTCAGTATGTATCAGTGTGTTGTTGTCTGTTTTGTTTTGCAGGCCCTTGCTAGTGTGAGCCATGTTGCCCATGTGACCATAACAACAAAGACAGCTGACGCCAAGTGTGCCTACAGGTATGCTTATTTTAAATGCTTCATAACAGACATAAACAATGGTGTAGTGGGGATTTATTTACTGGGTGGACGCTATTTTAATTAGGTCATCCCAAACAATGCCACAAGTGTGCACGCGCGCAGTGCACTCACAAAGCGGGACAGTTCTACCGGTATGCTTAATCCTACTTTAGTTACTGTACTGCAAAAAGCAGACATGGACACATTGGCTCATAAGTTACATAAACAATTTATAGGCCTAAGTTGCAGTAGGCGGCCCTTCTGATGATGTATTACTACTAGCAGCTTCACTTGTAGCTTCGGTGCTGCTAGCCTCTTTCTTCTCGTGAATGATATTCTTTTTAGAAAATAAGTCAAGTAACGTTTTTTTGCCTGCCATTATAGAGCTGTTTCGTTTGCGTTCTTGAGGGAAAGAGCTGCTGCAAAATCGGTGGGCGGCGAGTGGGCGAGTGTCACCCTGGGGTCACGAGCGTGATGACGAATCATAATTTTTTAAGGAAATGTTCATTTCATTTAATCGTTTATTTGAAGAGGGCCTCTTCAAATAAACGATTAAATGAAATGAACATTTCCTTAAAAAATTATGATTCGTCATCACGCTCGTGACCCCAGGGTGACACTCGCCCACTCGCCGNAAACGCCTGTTTGAGACTCCTCAGTGCACACAAAAACATAACTTGGAGAAATAAATAAATACGGATATGTTATTTAAAACCCTACGCACAGCGTTATACATGAGGCCCCTGGAGACCGGCTAGGCCACTCCCGGACCTTGAAATGCTTCTCACGAAGCCACTCCTTCGTTGCCCGGGCGGTGTGTTTGGGATCATTGTCATGCTGAAAGACCCAGCCACGTTTCATCTTCAATGCCCTTGCTGATGGAAGGAGGTTGTCCTTTCAGCATGACAATGATCCCAAACACACCGCCCGGGCAACGAAGGAGTNAGCACTGCCTGCTGACCAATCAGAGCTCAGTGTGCGGAATTTAAAGCGATCAAGTTGTATTACAGGAGAAAGGAAATGCAGGAAAGCTGCCGTTGCAGGAAAGACGGCCGGCAAAAATCACCGACTGTGAATGTGAACATTAATAGAATATCACCTCCCATCTTCAGAGCAATCTGACTATTATAACATTAGCGTTAAGAAAGCTTACTTAAATATCTGCCACAACATAAGTAACCGGATCAGAGTAACATTAAGTACAGTCTGCGGGATATCACATCATAATGTATCATATATCTCCTTATCTGAGTCAGCTGAGCCGTATCTGGCCGTGCAACACTTACAGTGTCACATACTGTATGCAGAAGTATTATTTTAAGCAACACATTAAGTTGACGAAACACTCGAGACAAATGTAATTAAAGTCAGATCCACTCGTGTCTTAGACGGGGCATGTCATAAACCTGTTAATGTACGCATTCAAACACTTTTTCTTTTAACAGCTGCATTCACCTTGCAGGTGCAACTATGTGGCTTTTATCCTGGATAAAGTGTTTAAGTCATGGATGTTTAAAGTTTAACTTCTTCATATTTGTCTAATATTATAGTTGACTTTTCATTCAGGAAGTATGACGCTTTTAAATATATAATATATTGCAATCCCTAATCTTTCTACATACCCCCTTACAATCCCCTCAAGTACCCCTGGCGGTCCCAGTACCCCCGGTTGGGAGCCACTGGTTTACAGTACAGTAAACTGATTAACAGTTTTAAACTATTCCAACTACTAACAGAACAGTGAGCTGCTGTGGCTCTGACCTGAGTTTGGTGGTGTTCACCAGGTACAGTTTGGTGTGATGTTGGATCAGAGTCCACTGAGGGTTGACGCAGCCCACAAACGAGTGGTTCTGCAACATTTCTTGAAGGCCTGGAGGGAAAAAAGAGTGCATACTTAAAAAGAGGAAAAATGTGTTGATGGGTGAATGAGCAGACAGTTAAATCACTGTGAGATTTGGAGATGGGAGTGAGCTAGACAGCAAGGAGTCACTCCTAAAATGCAACAGTTTATCGGTAACAGATGTTTTGTTTACCTTTGTGTGTGTTCTCAGTGATCTCGGTTCTGAGCTCTTTGATGCTGGACAGTTTAATGGCTCGTCTCTTGGGTGTAGCTGCAGCCGTTAGGTCCTCCACCTCCTGTTGCTCTTTCCTGGGTCGCTTCCTGGCCACACACACACACACACACACACACACACACACACTTAAACCTCCAGCATACTTACAGCACACTCTGCACCCTTGTACTCTCCACGCTCCCATGGGTTTGCAGTGGACACACTATAAGACTTCACAGGCTGTGAAATTGTTTAATGGGCATCACATATTTGTATTGTCCCGCCACAATAAAAGTACAAGTTAAGTCAATTCCTTTTTCAGCCACATGGGGGCAGGGGATATCCACAATTTGATGACTTTAAACTTGCCATATGATCATTTGATACAGTTTTAGGGACTAAACAGTAAGTTAACTAAGAATTGCAACATCAAACAGGGAGAAACCTTAGCATTCAGTCGTGTTTTCTAACCATCTGATGACTGGACCACCATTGACCACTCTTTAACTAGTTTGTTTGTGTTTACCAACTACTTAGGGAAACATCTTAGTCTTTAGCTGCTCAATGTCTGTCTTTGTTCACCAGCCAGTTTGCACTGCATGTATCAAAACCATTTTGCAAGAAACTGGTTTAATTACATTAGTGAGACTTATAAATGTAATGTGCTTGTCTAAACTGAAACAAGAAGCTAAAAGACGCTAAAAAGGCTTCACAGAGCTGGAGGTGGCAATGAACCAGTGAAAACTCCTTTTTATATTACTGATGTTTTGTTTTACCTTTGCACAGAGTCTGCCTGGTCTCCTCCTTCTCTTGGCTCCTCTGCTTCCTGCCGAGTCAGGGCCTGCAGCATGTCTGCATCGTCCGTCTCCTCCATCTCTGTCCTGTCAGGCTGGGCACTTCTGCTCGCAGCCTCCCTGCTGCTGGGTCCGGGTGATCCGGGGTCAGGAGCCGTCTTCTCTTTGGGCTGCAGGAAGGCGTCCAGCTTCTGAGCGCGGCAGTCGGTCCTCACCATCTGATGTGCGTAGACTCGATCGCTGGACTCTGCCGTGCCGCTGGAGGACTGCCCCTCGCTGCCGCCTGCGGCTGAGAGACCCGGCAGCAACGTCTGCACAAACAGAGATATGTCAGAGTGTATCCTCACCACAGCTCAACACTAACTTTAAAAGCCAAACAAGACCAGACATGAGGTTTTGGTTGCGGAAACTGAAAATATGGTTGCCATTTTTCACATTTTATTCTGGGTGATTAAGATACTATGTTTTTATAGGTTGGCTTATTGATAATAATCAGCGTTAAAACAACGGAAGCTGCAAACTGCAAAAAACTATATTCTTGGTAGTCTGTGATTATATGATAATTTACAGAATTCGACACACACTACAGGAAAGGGACAACCCGAAAAAGCATAACAGGGCCGCTTTAAAAGTCAGTAAGAGTGATGGCAACTTAAGAACATGAGTTTGTTGGCAATTATTCAAAATGGTTGCCAATGGCATCCTGTTAACCGAGCTCAGGCTTCTTATTTCTTGCACCTCCAAGATCAAATGGCAACATATAAAGTGACAGATGATCTCTGGGTGGAGTTATAAAAAGGTTAAGGTAATAAAAGCAGGTCAGATCTGTCACTGTGTTGGCAGAGAGTCATTATCATACCTGAGTGAAATATGTGCGAGAGGAGTTGGAGCCAAGGAGTTTGCTCTCGATGTGCTTCTGGACGCTCTCTATGATGCTGTCTTCGTGCAGGAAGTGCACCTCGTGTTTTGTGGGATGGACATTCACGTCTACGTTGTGCGGAGCGATCTCTAAGCTGCAGGGATCAGAACGCACTATTGAATGTCAATTTCATTCAACCACGATAAAAAGCCTTGCAGAAAACAAACACATTAGGTCACCTGAGGTAAAGAAAGGGGTGTGTGTTCTTGGGAAGGTAAGCAGCATAAATGGTCTCGATGGCCTTCTTCAAAGCAGCGGACTCCACCAGGCGATCTGTTACGTCACAGATCACAACCTCCATTCAACACATTCTTAATAAGTTTAAATCATCTTTGCAGGCGAGACACTTTTCCAGGGATACGTACGGTTGATGAACAGGACCAGGATGCATTTCTTCATGGAGTAATTTGCATTAGAGATGTGTCCTTTCATCTTATAGGCGAGCTTCTGATCCTCACAGCCGACTTCGATCAGCTCCCTGGGAACATGCCACACAGCCGCTCATGCAGTCAGCGTTAAGGCGAATAAGAAGTCATGTAACTACAGAGAGCATCGAAGCATTTTAAAATAAATACCTGCTGACTGCATTGCCAAAAACTCCTCGAATATTATCCACTACAGAGGCGTTGGGTAGGGTCCTCACATCCGCCACCGTCTCTCCTTGCTGGAAAAACATAACATAACAATTATTGTACTAACAAATAATCTTTTTTTTGTCTAATTTGTCAGTGCATTTACAGACATAAAAACACAAGTGAGCATCCATACTAATACAGAATTTATTTTGAGTTTTTTGCTCAGGAATTGTTACAAAAAGAAAGAAACCTCACCTTTTTGACGGAGAAACTCTTCCCTGAATTGTGTATGGCGTACCTATACAAAGGGTTTGATATGAGAATGATCAAAACACAACGAAAAACATAAAAACAGCATGAATCACAAGAAACAAAGAGTAGGATGGCAGACCTGCTGACCACTTCCACAATCCGTGAGTACTCATCTCCGGGGCTTTTTAACGCTTTCCTCCGGGTGGACACGTTATAGAAGAGGTCCTCCAACTGCAGGCAGGGGGGGGCACATTATTGAAGGTCATGAAACATCCACATACTACATTCTGGTAGTTTAAGAGCTCCATGGCCTCACAAGAATCTGTGTGCCCTGGTTTCCAGCACATGGTTTGGGAGGGCCTTTCAGTTTGCCATCGCTGTAGTTGGCTCTGCAAAGAAATCCATACATCAAGAGAAGTCTGAAATCCTTTATGTCCAGTGGTGTAGTGGTCGTTGGACGCGGGGGATCGCCGTTCCCCCACTTATTTGGAGCCCCCACTTTTTTGAAGCATGATTGTTTTGGAAAACATAATACATTTAACAGTAATTATAATAAAAAATAAAAACGATTTATATGTCGTAGTCGCTACATTGTACTGCCATGTGGTTAATGCTTGTACAGGGGCACAAAAGTATTTAGTCAGCCACCAATTGTGCAAGTTCTCCCACTTAAAAAGATGAGAGGCCTGTAATTTTAATCCTAGGTATACCTCAACTATGAGAGACAAAATAATAAAAAAAAAAAAATCCACAAAATCACATTGTCTGATTTTTAAAGAATTTATTTGCAAATTATGGTGGAAAATAAGTATTTGGTCAATAAAAAAAGTTCATCTCAATACTTTGTTATATACCCTTTGTTGGCAATGACAGAGGTCAAACGTTTTCTGTAAGTTTTCACACACTGTTGCTGGTATTTTTGGCCCATTCCTCCATGCAGATCTCCTCTAGAGTAGTAATGTTTTAGGGCTGTCGCTGGGCAACACAGACTTTCAACTCCCTCCAAAGAATTTCTATGGGGTTGAGATCTGGGGCCTCATTTATAAAAGGGATATACGCTCAAAAAATGGCGTACGGCAGTTTCTACGCAATGTTTGCGATTTATAAAATACTAACTTAACGGGAAAACGTGCGGTCCTCCACGCAAACTCTAACCCATGCATACGCACTAAGCACAAAAACGGGAGAGACAAGAAACTGCGAGAGAATGGAGAAATATGTGGAAATAATACCATAAATAAAATGTTACCTCTCATTTATCATATATGAAGAATTCATTTTCAAACATTGATTAAAGCCAATCTTAAAATGATTTAACAAACGCCTGTTTGAGACTCCTCAGTGCACACAAAAACATAACTTGGAGAAATAAANTGATGTGCAGAAAGAGCATGAGCAGAATATACAGTGGGGCAAAAAAGTATTTAGTCAGCCACCAATTGGGCAAGTTCTCCCACTTAAAAAGATGAGAGAGGCCTGTAATTTTCATCCTAGGTATACCTCAACTATGAGAGACAGAATGGGGGGAAAGAATCCAGGAAATCACATTGTAGGATTTTTAATGAATGAATTGGTAAATTCCTCGGTAAAATAAGTATTTGGTCACCTACAGATGTAGCGATTCATTTCAGACAGTTTGAAACGCGAGGGCCGTGATTGGTACTTGATCTGCCCTCGCTCAAGGGAAAACCTCCAGTTTGACTTGAGACCGCCCCCGTGATAGATAAATGTAATTATAATGAAGCCAGCTGTAATGGATAATTGATCCACCAGGGGGTGCAGTGGAGTTCCACACTGGAGCTCATGTGAAATAAAGTCAGATACAGTACGCTGGATGTACAGCGGAACTTTGTTAAGATCCATATGTCACGGATATCATGCTCTGTGCTAAATAAGAGACATGTAATCATTTACAAAACATTCACCATGTTGTTATTTAACAAAATAATGTTGTTTAAGTCGAANCCGGAAACCCCGAGTTTTCCCTGAAGTTAGCCGGCTAAGCGAAGATCCTGCTTCGTAGTACAGGCCTCTGGTGTCCTGCACAAGTGTCTCATTAAAAGCTCTAAATATAAGCAGTTGAAACGGCTAAAAGTGAGTTTGGTTAAATATGATTACAAAGGGTTTAACCAGTCTATGGGTTTAACACAAAGCATCTAGGCGAATCATGAGTGAGGGGGTACTTATAGAATGGAGACCAGCTCAAGGGGTAGGTGACGCAAAAAAGGTTGGGAACCACTGCTTTAAAGGGTTGATGGGGGCAGCAGAACAATTTATTTTAGCCCCCTAAAGAAAGTCCAACCAAATATAATGAAGATCAGTTTAAGTGTACAGTCAGTTTGGAATATTTCCCCTCCTTCATCTCGCCTTCAGAAAGTCTGGGAAACTACTTCCTGTATGTTTTACAGCCACCAGACTCCATCTACAAAAACTGTAATATTAACACTGTAGAGTACGGGAGTTGCTGGTGTATCGCTGTCTTGATCACTTTGTTTTTGTGTGTTTTACCAAACCGGATTTACCACATCACACAATAACACAGACTAACTTACTGATCGAGGCAGCATTAGACCAGCAACTCCAGTATTCTACAAGGTAATATTAGCGTTTTTGTTAATGGAGTCTGGCGTCTTTGAAGCATAACAGCTTCAGTTCTGTCTGATGGCAAGGTAAAGCGGGGAAAATATTCTAAATATAGCACACACTTAAACTGATATTGATTATTTTGATCTAGACTCGGAAGTACAGCACGCAACCCCGTTAAAAAAAACATGTGAAGTTATTTCAGTCAGCTACTTTATTTCCCATATGATACATTTTTTATTCTGCTGCAGCCAGGAGCTTTTCTACCAAATACTCATCTACGACTTCGGGAACTTTGGTGTATTAAGACTATCTGTAAGTATTACTGTTTCTTGAGAATCATTAGTATGTACTTTGCAGTTTCTGATTGATATGCCTGATAATGTGCACTCAGACCCCAGCTCCACTCTACGACCTAGCCATGCTGGCTCTGGACTCTGAGGAGAGCGGCTGGACAGAAGACGACGGCCCTAAAGAAGGCCTGGCTCAGTACATAGTGGACTTCCTGAAGAAGAAAACTGAGATGCTGGGGGACTACTTCTCTGTGGAGATAGACCCGGTATGTGGTATTAGGACAGTGATTGTCTGTCGGGAAGATAATTCTCTAAAAACACACAAAGTCTCCAAATACATTTTCCCTGCAAATGTCTTTCTATGGAATACCAGAGGGAAGTTTCTAAGTATGATACTTTATTTTTTGAGTTAAGAATCGGGTAAAAAAATATGTTTTGGTTGGTGAAGTGAGTTTAACCATTCTCAATGTCCTCTAAACACAACGTACACATTTAGTTATTAGAATGTAACATAACATTACAAAATGTTGTCCTATTTATCAAACATGCAGTAGTTGCATTTCAGTCTTTTGTGACCAGAATAAGAATAATTACTGATGAAAATGATCCTGACAACAATTTTTCCACCCGTTTCCTACATGAGAAAAAGTAAAAGGTACTTAACGAACTATAGAGCATTTCTTAGATAAGAATTGATTCTTTGTCAGCAAAACATGACATTATCAATCTACTTTTACACATGCTTTAAATCTGATCTTTGTACATTCTAGGAAGGGAATCTGACCGGGCTGCCGTTACTGCTCGACAAGTACTCCCCGGTGATGGAGGGTCTCCCCATGTTCATCCTGCGCCTGGCCACTGAGGTGAGTATCTCTCTGCTCCATTATGGTGAGATTCTGGAGATGAACTGTGTCTGAAGGTTTGTGCTTGGTGGTGTTGTGCAGGTGAACTGGGACAATGAGAGAGAGTGCTTCAGAGACTTCGGTAAGGAGTGCAGCATGTTCTACTCCATCAGGAAGCGCTACATCCTGGAGGCCGAGCCCGGAGAGGAGCAGGTGGGGAATAGTTTGAAGTAGGGTTGTATAAGGTACTTATTCCTAGTCAGTGCTTTCCCCACAATGGATGGTGGCTTGCACGCCTTATATTTGGAGTGCTAAGAAATGTTCTTCTATTGACTGTGCCAGCAACATATAGTCACCTTTTAAAAAAAACAAAACATTCAGTATTAGTTTAGTGTGTCAATGGGACAACTCAAGCAACTTACAAACAAAAGCTTCGTTCTTTAAATCCCCCCGACTCCATTGACAAACAGACTCACTTAACGTCGCAGAAGACAGGAGTTTTTGGTGTACTGCTTCTTCCATCAGTTATTTTGTTTATTATAGCTTGATAACACAAATGCACTATCCAAACATGGTGTCGGTAGACCAGCAGCGTCTGTGTTCTGCAGGATAAAATGACTGTTTTTGTAAATGGAGTCTGGTGGCTTTGAAGAGAGCAATGTAACTGCCTAAGTTATCTTATCAGTAAAGGCTGTCTAACGCCAAGTAGAGTGCTGTGAGTATTCTAAATGTAGCGTACACTTAAACATACATTTCCCCCCTGCCCCATCACAGCTGTAGGCTTTGCCTGTACCGATACTCCTGCCTGCTTCTCTATTGATAACTACCTCATACTCCCAACAGTCCTGTTCACTTCCTTTGATTCAATATAATATGAATGCTAAAGAACTGACATGTGATGTTTTTTCAGGAGGCTGAGGTGAACTCATGGCGATGGAAAGTCGAGCACGTCATATTCAAATATTTCCGAACCCTCTTCAGTCCTCCGAAGAACTTCAGCGAGGACGGCACTGTGCTGCAGATCGCCAATTTACCCGACCTCTATAAAGTGTTTGAGAGGTGTTAAAGGATACTCAGTCCAACCAAACATGCTGCTCCTTTATGTAACATTTGTGCTGTAAATAAATACTTTGTGTAAAACAAGGCTCCAGATGTGTCTTTGCAGAGAGACACCATATTCCATGATGTCATAGTTAATCCTAAAAAGCCCATTCAAATGTGCCAAGGCTACACATGGTTTTCTAAAAGTAAGACCTGGGACAGGCAGCCAGGAAAAAGTGAATCAGGGTCACACATCCCATAAGGTTACAGACACAGTGCCAGCACATTAGCTGGGCTTTTACTGCATCTACATTTCAGTCTGAGACACAGAGGAAGTGTGGAGGATTAGCGCTCGGTGGGGAGGAAATAAACACCGCAGCTAATTGTTCCACTTTATGGACTTCAACGTAATCATCAGTTTGTAACACATTTAAGCCTGGAAAATTGAAGGAACCTGTATTAAGCTTTTGGGGGTTTTCCATTTCCTGTAGTGTTAAAGGTTATTGTATATTTAAATGTTCTGCAAAGACTAAAATCCCAAAGTTCCCTCCAGAGGGAGTTTCTCTCCCACACACTCCCCTGAAACGCCTCCATTGGACTCCTTTGTTTACTTCCGTAACTTAGTGACATCACTATGTAAGGTGCGGGACATCTCTAAAGGGGTTGACCAATCACAACAGAGCAGGCCAGCTGACCAATCAGAGCAGACTGGGCTCTGGTTTCAGACAGAGGGTGAAAAGAGGTGCTGCAGCACAGGCAGTATGAGAAAATAAAGAGCTTTTTGATCATTAAAACATGGAGACACGTCACAGTAGAGACACTACATACAAATATGAACCTGAAAATGAGCATTATAGGGCCCCTTCAAAGTAATGCCAATTAATGCAATTAGCACCATAAGTCAAAAACAGCGCTAAGTGAAACAAGACAACCTCGGCCTTGCTACAACAACTTGCAGAATTGCAAAAGAAATACCTAATTTCACCCCTTTTTAAATGTCAACTGAACAATGCTGTTCACTAAAGCAAGAGGAAGTCACTTCGGGATGGCTGACATGTCCCGAGCAGGAGTTAGGCCTGGGGGTGTGATAAGCATGTTAACAGAAAGGCACCAGCGTGTGGTGTTTGTTGAAACCATGCAGGAGGGCGGTGGTTTTTAGGTGCTCACCGCAGGGCTGCTGCGGGTGGAGCCGGCTACAGCATAATATGCCCACTTTAAATGAAGAACCTGCAAAAGTATTTTCCTGTCTTATGAAATAGCAACTGAGGGTTCATCTTCCGGAAACCAATGCAAAATGAACAATACAGAGTATAATGATACTACAACGGTAAAAAGCAAAACTGCACACTGAACAAAATAAAGGATTCAGATTGTATACACAGTTCTGTAAATTACATTTATTCTCAAGAAATCTTTTAAATATTTGAAAATGTTCAATGAAACCGCAGCAGACACAGTTGGTTCTACATACATTTCAAATAATGACTGCACCTTTTTTTAAATACATCATTCTGTACCTGTTAAAACGATTATTGTTTTTTCCGTGGAGCCGTGCGGACCCCAGATCTCCGAGTGTGAAAAGGCACTTCACTGTGAGGGGAAGCCGGGAAGGTGCGGCGGGGCGGAGCAGCCGTGAGAGTTGAAAAGTTTAAAAAGCATCATAATATTCATTCATGCAACTTATCAAAAAACAAACAAAGAGTACAGCCAAGCACCCAGCCAGAGAGTGAAGATCTGTGGATAACAAGATGCAGTACATAGCTCTGAAGATTAAGTAGTGATTAGAGATTTCCTCAGATGTATCTCCCAGCAACTTAATAGTTTTATTAGTTTCTGAGTCATTCCTCCCAAAGCAGCGGCGGCCTGCCAGGCAAAACCAACGCTTCCGTTTAAACAAAAAAAAGAGAGGACACAGTTCCGTTTGTCGCCTGTGCTACACCTTGTTTTTCGTTTTTAAAGTGTTTTTGGTTAGCTACAAATCTCAAAAGTGTTACAGATAAAAATGGAAATGTGCTCCAGACACAATATGGCAGTCAGAGGTCTGAGGTGCGAGTTTAAGGGCTTCTGTGGTGACGCTGCCTTGCCTCACTGCTGCGACAGGAGGGCGTTCCTGTTGGCCTTCATCTTCTCCAGGCGCTTCACTAGGTGGTTGTTGGTCATCTCCATCTCCTCGTTCTTATCCAGAGCCATGCGCAGCTGCGGGGGAACAGAGGGGGGGTGTTACACTCTAAACTTCTTCTTTTACCGTTTCATTTTACAAAGTCCAAGTCTTTACCTCTCGTTGAAGTCGCCGTTTTTCTGTTTTTAGTTCGTCTTCTACTTTCTCTGAACTATCTGCTGATGCCTTGTACCTGGACACTTGCCCTTCAAGTCTGTTGATCTGGAAAACGGACACATAAAATAAAAGACTTGATGAATTAGAGCCCTGAAATGTACTACTTTTAGAAATCGGTTTGAAAAGACCTTTTTTTTTTCACTTACATTTTGTTCCATTGTTCCTAATTCCTGTTCTGCTTTAGAAAGCTTGAATTTGTATTCACTCATCTGTCTGTTGGAATCTCCTGCAGACAGAAACACCAACCGGTGAGTTTAAAAAATACAAAAAGAAGTGTTCAAATGTGTTGTTGTGCTGGACCAACTTACTCTGCATCTCGATGATGTGCAGGTCTGTACCGTTCTCCATCCTCTCTCCGTCTGTGTATGCGCTGTCCATCTTTGAGTGCTTCTGCCTCTCCTCCTCCAGCTGGTTCTTCAGCTTCCTGATCTGAGCCAACAGTTCATCTTTCTCCTCCGCCAACTTACGTAGCCTGACATCTACGGACAAGATGGAAAACACATTAAGCTCAGGCAATTTAAGAAGTCAAGCTGAGTGAACTGGAGTGTGTCCAGCGTGCTAAAACACAGTCACTTGTTTATAAATGTCTTACGTCTAAATTAAGTGGTGCTGGGATGACTTTATATTCGGCCAACCTGGAAGTTGTTTGACTTAATGTGTAATCTCCACACATTAAGATTTTAACACACACTCAAATGTTAAAGTGTAAATGCAACAGCTGAGAGAAAAAGGCCACCATTAGGCTACAAACTAACCACATCACGGTCATATGACTTCACATCATCACCGCCAAGCTAAAGGTGGCTAATGTTTGCTGTGTTGGTGTTTAAAAGTCTCAGTTAGCCACTTGCTAGCATTTCCCAGGTTTAAGGACTCGTACTTGCTTTACACACCTCTTAGATTTAGGAACGTATGTAAACAGAATGCTTTCCGTGACTCACCCAAAGGACCCTCCCCGGCAGACTCCAGCACCTGCGCGGCCTCCTGGGAGACCACCGTGATCCCCGAGGACAGAGGCTCGTGGTTCACATCTCCATTGGGTGTTCCGTCGGAGATGATGACCAGCCCGTGTTTCTGTGGCGAGAGAACACACGTTACTGAGGACCGGCTCACTTCCTCTATAACACAAACCCCCCCACCAAACACAGCCTACTTTGTGGAGGAAATCCAAAAGAAACAACCTATTTATTACCTTACATGTTTTATTATGTTGTCCTATAAGTATTGTTAAACTGCAAAGATAATATAAGCATAAAGTCATCTGTGTGTCAGAGGTTGAAGAGTGTCCATGTGAAAATCTGTTAACAGGTATGTTAAAAAAAAAAGGTACCCAACATGAGTAATAGATGTTATTCTGTTAAAAAGGGTATTTGTAGTTCACTTAAGACATTTACATTTCTTATTTTTTTGTTGAATTTTTGTTTTTGTAAAGCCTTTACGTCGTAGTAAGATGGTTGCATACCGGAATATCCTTTTTAAAATGTATACTAACATTTTCAATGAATATGTTTTTGTTTTCCCTTTAATTGAATGCCTTATTTTTATTCATTTAATTTTATGTGCAATCTTTTTGGAATATTGAATTTGATTTGATTAGGTAAACCCTTGCAAAAGTACAGCCTTAAATAAATAACAAGGGTCCGCACAAAGTAATGAAAAGTCATTGGTCTATGTTTGGTCAAATGTAAGGATGCACAATATATAGATGGCCAATATATGACTGGCTGATAATTAAGTTATCAATTGGCGTTGTAATTATTTAATTTCAGCATATTATCGACGTCTAATAATAATGTGGAGCATGGCTGAGTTGTTATTTCTCTGCTCTCTAGGTCACCGTTTATATGAGGATGAGCTCCATACACACACGGGACTTTGGATCAGAGAGGCCAGAGGAGTGAGGGTATATTTGACTAGAGTCCTGTAAAACACTGGAGAATCTGCCAGAGAGGCAGTAGAGAACATGATCTCACTGAGATATGACTTCTTCGGCCGCGCTGCTCCCAGCCAACTCCCTGCCCTACCCTAACTCACAGACAGTCTGCTCTGTAGAGCTATATGCTGTTAGTTATGCTAAAGAAATATACTTTTGAGTGGGTTAAAGAATACTTCGTTGTTGCAGGTAACAGCTTGGCTCAATTGGCTATGCATCTTAAAATTAGCTGCACTTTTGTGGACTTTGAGGCAGAGATCAAGCAGCCTTTCATCTCTACCAGCAGCATGATGCCACAGGAGCTATCTATGATGACACAGATCATATTTAAGTATTAATAAGACGTAATTCTCATTATTTTTGTAACATATACACACTTAAAAAAGGAGCAGTGGTTATTGTATCTGCTACATATACCAGTTAATTATCGGTTGCTGCTATATAGTATATTGTAGTATATTGAAATGGCGACTTTTTTTTTTTAAATGTACCCTCCTGGAGGTGCATTAACCAAACCCTAAAGGCCCAAAATAAAAACACTTTGTATTATTTGAAAGCAGCATGTGTCAGGATTTTCCTAATCAATACATTTTTTTGTCAGAATACTTTCAATATATGTCGAGTCTCAGTTTTTAGAAAAGCATTCTATATCTGTTGTGCAGTCATATGCAAGACGACACCATTTGAATTGACAACACACTCAATAAATAACAAATGCAGCCTTAATGTCCCGTAGTGCACTGCAGGCAGGGTCAGGTGAGCCAAATGGCTTAGGGAAAACCAGCAAGTATTGAAAAATAAAATGAAATGAAAACAAAGAAGCAGAAGTGCAACACAATAGAAGGTCTGACGGCATTAACTTGTTTAGTTCCAACAGAAGAATACATAAAAAGTTGATTTTGGCCAGCATGTTGTTTCCCTTAAGGAAGACGTACCTCTCCTGCTTTGGCCTTCCCCTTGATGTCAGAAAGCTCATCTCTGAGCTCGTCTCTCTCACTCCTAATGCAATCAAAGTACTCTTTCTGCCTCTCTAGGGCCTGGCCACACACACGGAGAGGAAGAGGAGAAAGAGGCAGAGGAGAAGTTGGAACGACTCTGGAGGACAGACATGCAACACCACGTGCTACAGGAGGACATCACCGTGCACACACATGCACATCGAGGACGAAGAAACAAACACACAGATGACAAAGTTCAAAGGTGTGGAGGAGGATCGGGAAGGAAGATGTTGGGAGGTAGATCGGTTTGACTTTCTAAAATTAACCACATAATCATTATGCTTTATTTACTTAGACCTCTATTACTTAACAAATTAACAGATCCACAAGTGTAACATGCATATCATGCCTGAATATGTGGATAATACTTCTTTACATTTGTAATTCACTTGATTATCCTACATTTTCTATGTCACAGTAAGCTTCAACATGGTGCTGGTGCGCTTGCATTGTTAGCCGGGGTCACAGGATCCAAACCAAAAGCTGTTATTTGGACATGCACAATTCCAAACTGTGAGAGTAAACATGTCCAGGTAAAGCCTAAAGGGTCTCCATCATGCAGAGACAGCATGAGAGGCAAAAGAGGGGGGTAAACCATGTCTAAAGGTCGGGAAAAGCCCAGCCCTCTTTTGCCCCCCATGCTCTGTCAGAGCACCCGAGGGGACCTCCTACCCCGATCTTTTTGTCCTTCCAGTTTATGGTTTCCTGCAGGTCAAACACCTCTCTGGTGAGGGCGTCTAACTTAGTCTGCATTCGCTGGCTCTCCTGGAGCGGCGTGGAGAGGCGACACAATACAGGATAAGAAGAGAATAGGAAATATTGAATGGAACAAAGACAAAAGAAGGGAATATGTACATAAACACTGACACATCAGGGTCTCCGTTGTCCTGCTGTGATTACTGCTTTTCTTAACCGGGAAAATCTCCCCTCAGTTATTAAAGACGTAACAAAGAGGGTCTTAGCAGAATGTTTTAACTGGCTGTTTTGGACCGAGTTTTGTGAAATGTGCTTTATTTACTTGGTTTGGTAATGTGGGTTAGTTAACAACTATAAACTACAGTATGCTTGGGATTGAGTCACTTAAGCTCAGCAAAATACCAAATACATGTAGAGAAAGAAACCAAACTGTCAGTATTCTCATTGCCATGAAGTCTGTTAGAGTTCCGTATATTGGCAACTTCTGTTTAAAGGACCCTCGTGTGAAAAATGTAAATAAGAGAGAGAGAGACTGGCAAATATTAACGTCTGCTCTGCAAAGGGTCCACCTCCTCCATGTAGCCTGCCTCGATTTGGAATTGAAGAGCAACCTGCTTTTCAACACAAATATCACATAAAGTGTGATATCATTCTTTATTTAGCCTGCTGATTAAATGTTTACATTTTTTTAAGGATCATTTTTGGGGCTTTTCATTCTATTTGAAGTGCAGATAGACAGAAATGGAGAAGAGCGAGTGGGCGATATGCAGCAAAGGGGCCCAGGTCAGATTTGAACCTTGGACGCTGCAGTAAGGACCAAACATGGGTCCACGGCTCAACCTGAGGCAGCAATAGTTACAAAAACACAGATAATATTTGACCAGAAATCCTCCTATTTGCCCAGGGCAATTGGGCCAGTTGACTTATCTTGGAAACCCTGATGTGAGAGACAGAAATGAGAGATGGTGAAACGGGGTAAGAAGAGACTCGATTGAGGAGAAAATGCTGAGAAAGCGATGAATATAGTGTTCAGAGTCAGATAGGAAACGGAGCTGAATGTCAGAAGGGAAAAGGGAGGACCCTCAGAGGCAGGCCGGTGCCAATCAATCCTTATCAAGTTCCTGCAGAACAGAGGCTCCTCTGCAGCGACACCTTTCACAGTGCTGAGGGAGAGCAGTGTGATGTGGTCACACAAACCGTCTGTACTTCTAACGTCTTACCTCTATAAGCTCATCTCTCTGGCGGATTCCCTCTTTCAGCTCGTCTTGTTTATGCTGCAGGACTGTACACGTGTGCTTTTGTCTTTCTAGGTCCTGGAAACATGGACATATGATCATTTGTAAATGTACCTTAATGAAATAGATTTAGAATAAGCTTTCTTTGAAGATGCATTACCTTTGACTTGTCTTCCAGCTCCCTCTTCATCTCGGACATTTGCTCCTCCATCTCCTCGATGACGTCCTTTAGTGTGTCCACCTGGTAGATGAAGTTGCCTTTGTCGTTGTCCAGCTGTGCGTTGGATACCATGGCTTTCTTATACTTCTCCTCCACCTCTGCAAGTGACTCCTGATAAAGGTTGGAGCATGTTAATAAGCAGAGTAAAAGCACAGCTCACCCACAGAACATGCACCAGGTGGGGTTTCTGGTTTAATCATGAAAAACACACACTAAACACGTATCTTTGTATTTCCCAATGTAAGAATAGGTTAAGGCATCATTCTAGCCCATTTGTGGTATTATTCTATTTGAAATGGAGGACTAATAATGTGGTGCGAGTTAATCCTGCAGTTATAAGAATGCGTTGAGTCACTTTCTTTAGTGAAACAAGGCGATGGTGTGAAAAAGGGATCTGAAAGAGAGAACTAAAAGTGGATAATAAGATCTCAAAGAGTCTAAAGCTAAAAGTGCATTAGCTGTGTCAAACTCTACCAAGAACAAGCCAGGACTAATTGGTTAGTAAACTACTTTTATCTATAAGAAACATACTTTCTAAGAGAATGAGAAAGGGACAGCCAGAAGGCCATCCAACACTGTGGCCTGGGTGGAGAGGACTTTAGATTGTAAAGCATGACTGTTATCTGTCAGCAGGTGGAGCATTTTAACTCTTCTTCGGACAACTTTGAACCCAGTGGAATTGTGGGAGTGTCTTCGTGTCAGGCCACAAGCAGTGAGTTGGATCAAAACAGGAAGTGGAGGGAAGATCATGCAAAAAGAAGGATCATTACGCAATTCAGACTGGTGTTAGGAGCTACAGGAGGGGGGGTATGAGTGGAGGATGTTGTCCTATAAGTATTGTT